TTTTTTAAGTAAATAGTAAACCATACGGGAACCTTTCGCATTCTCTTTAGAAAACTATTTAGGACGGATAAGATGCAAATTGGGACGAAGCTCTACTTTATTTGTGGAAGCTACATACTAATGAGCCATGTTAAAAATAGAAATAGGCTACTGTTTAATTGTATGATCTATCAAGAATTGAAAAGTCTGCGGGGTTGCTTTGACCACAGCCAACACAACATGCAATATACAACATGGTGCCAAAATACTAAACAATTACACTTGCAACAATGTTCTACTAATGCTGAAAGCATGTGATCAAAATTAGGATCAAATGTTAAAATATTAGCCTAATAAAGGAATACAATTCTTTATTCTAACACACAGCATAAAAATTATTATAGTTATTTGTAGACTATATAGAATGTTGACAAAACTAAAGTTAGAATTTCAGAATTTTTAGTTAATGTAGTTAGCTTTGCTTGCAAACATTGACCTAATCATAATCGATGATGGTGTACCGATGTCTGACACCGATAACTAATAATACTTTGTATTTGGATGCCGATAATAGTTATGAAGGTCAATAAATACAAATCCTGATATTACTTTTTCTGGGCCTGATTACTAAAGCTAAACAAATAGTTTGTAACTAGACCATCTACACAAGGAAACTGCAAAGAAGCATATTTTCTTTCTCAAAATCCCATGGTTCATTTTTGCACAGTTAAATTACTTTTTTTATCAGGCAATAATTTTAAACAATAAAAATATACTTGCCAATACTGATATGGCTTCTGATATATATATATATATATAATGCATCACTAAATAAGTTTTAAACTAAAAATTCTGGGTTGGGCCGACACAGTGGTCACTGATGGCTTTCAGCAAGAAGGTCTCTGATTCGAGTCCCGGTGTCCTGACATTTTATCCTACCCGTCAGATTATGTCAACACTGTATTTGAATGGTTCTGAGGTTGGGGTTAGGGATTAGGGTGATATTACATCTTCATTTCTACACTACTCCAGATTAAAATTTACACTGGTGGCAAAATCTGATGGGTAGCATATTGCGTCATCAAAATGTGCTACCTACTTTTTGAATGGGAGGTAGGACAAGCCAACAAGGTAGGACAAATCGACAGAACACCAGCTGGGTCAGTTTGCATTTTTGTGTAGAGTTTGCATGTTTTCCCCATGTTCTTGTGGGTTTCCTCCAGATGCTCCGGTTTCCCCCAAAGTCCAAAGACATGCACTATAGGTGAATTGAACAAACTAAATTGGTTGTAGTGTATCAGTGTATGTGTGTGAATGAGTGTGTATGAATGTTTCCCAGTACTGGGCTGCAGCTAGAAGGGCATCCGCTGTGTAAAACATATGCTGGATAAGTTGGCGGTTCATTCCGCTGTGGCGACCCCTGATGAATAAATGGACTAAGCTGAAGGAAAATGAATGAATGAAATGCTGGGTTTTTCTATCCAAATATCTAAATTAAGTTTGTAACCGAATGATTATCCATATTTTAAAAACAAAAACATAAAAGCATGCATTGTCCCCATTCATTAAGATAACAAATCAAAAGAATGTGATAGTTTGACAGTTTGAAGTAGAAAATGTCTCCAATTTCCATCTCAGAAATTAACTATCGCTTTAGATTGCAAATCACGTATATGTGAAAACCATTTATTGTTTTGTTTAAATTAGTAAACGTTAATTTGTGGTGTCAGATTACACTTGTTTTGCAAGACCTATGTCATTCTGCTCCCAGTAAATTACCTCATGTTTACGTTTAGCAGAATTTAAAATCGTGCATCAGATTCGTTGTTTATTTAGCAACATGAACAACAGCCCATCCCATGACTCAATAGGAAACCAATTAATCAAGCAGATCTGCTGATGTAAGACGCTGACCAATGTAAATGAGTTTTGTTTGAACTAGATTGAGGCCGAGGACAATGGAGTCTCTTCTGAAAGTCTCCGCTCTCCTTCAGTTGTTTGTGAAAGCTGAGCAGGACCTTCAAAAGTGTTCGTGTTATATAATGTTGCCATCTGACAAAACGTTTCCCACAGAGAAAAGAGAAAGACGTTTTCCCACTGGGATAAACTGTATCAAGGACCATGAAGCTTTGTTACATCTCAGGGGGGGAAAGAAGAAGAAGAAGAGTACATTTTGTTTAGACTGTATGAATGTATATCTGCCATTTTATATCAAAGGCTGCATCTAAAAGAGGAATGGTAAAAGTGGCTGTCTAAAAGATAGAAAGAAAAGACTTTTGCTTTTTCCAGGTAACTTGATTCCTGCTTTGGCTTATGGCTCTGGCTGACCGACTGGAAAACCCAGGAGTGAAACTCTGTCATGGGATCCCTTAGAAGAAGGACTCCCTCAGAAAGAACAAATGTCCCCTTTCTTTTATTGACGCATTTTGGTTACTAACCAGGTGTGTGTGTCTGTGTGTGTGTGTTTGTCGGAAGGATGAAATATACCCTTTTCTAAAAGTGGCTTTGAAAAAGAAAGTTGCAGGACACACCAATGCATGACTCATCTTAGCACAGAGAAGCAATTATGCTCTTCTGCTAATATGAATTACGGTAAATTACACTTAAATTCCAAAATAGCAGGTCAATTTAATTTTGCTTTCATTATCTAAGGGATTAACTGTAATGTGATTATTTAATATATTTTGCAATGCATGGCTAAGAATCTGGGACAACAGATTCATCAACTGCGCCAGTTAAATTCCTCAAAATAAAAAATGTAATACATTGCATGACTGTTTGTGCTGCAAAGCCAGTGTGTTTCTGATTTTGATCATTAAATTTATTTGATAACAATGACCAGTTTTGCTATATTAAGAGGAATACTTTTTTGTACAACTAAAACAGCTGGAAGTCAGGGTTATTATTTACCTCAAAACTTGTTACTTGAAATATAATCCATGTTATCTTGATGTTAAACTAAAAACATATGTCATTGTATTCACATATACAGTTGAAGGAAGAATTATTAGCCCCCTGTTTATTTTTTTTACCCAATTTCTGTTTAACGGAAACTTTTTCAACACATTTCTAAACATAATAGTTTTAATAACTCATAATAACTGATTTATTTTATCTTTGCCATGATGACAGTAAATAATATTTGACTAGATATTTTTTAAGACACTACAGCTTAGAGTGACATTTAAAGGCTTAACTAGGTTAATCAGGTTAACTAGGCTGGTTAAGGTAATTAGGCAAGTTATTGTACAATGATGGTTTGTTCTGTAGACTATCAAAAAATGTATAGCTTAAAGTGGCTAATAATTTTGACCTTAAAATTTTTTTTAAATAATTAAAAACTGCTTATATTCTAGCTGAAATAAAACAAATAAGACTTTTTCTTTAGAAGAAAAAATATTATCAGACATACTTTGAAAATGTCCTTGCTCTGTTAAACATAATTTGGGAAATATTTAAAAAAGAAAATAAACTCAACGAGGGGCTAATAATTCTGACTTCAACTGTAATTTTCATTTAGATTCTTTTGATATAATAAAATAGCATATAACGGAAAAACTAAACAAAACTATATAGAAAAAAATCAGGTTTTGTTTACTTTAACTTATTGAACAATATAGTAAGCAAGTAAATTGGTAAAAAGTATATAAAAGGTGTATCTAAACATTAGCAAAATGATCTCAGCAAGTTGTGAAGGAATATTTCTCATTTTAGTTTAGTTGAACTCATTGTACAAAATAATTAACTAAAAAAAAGTAAAATTATGAATAAAAATATATATAAATATATATATTTGCCAAGGAAAAATGTTTTATTCAAACTATTTAAGCTAAACGAAAATTAATAAAAACTATAATGACATGAAAAAAATAGTAAACAAAATAACATGAAAAACATGCAAAAATTACTAAAACAAAAAAATAGCAATGTGCATTATAAATAAACTGTATAAAAACTTTCAATATTAACTCAAATAAAATCTCAATGATACGAAATGACACCAGTTCACATAGATGGCGGCACATTCTCTTACATCAATTTGATTTACTAAATGTATATATTAACATAAACTAATATTTCTTAATATAATTTCTTAATACTGCATTATTCAAATAAAGTGCTTGTTAACAAGGGCTGCACAATACTGGAGTTTGCACATACTATTATCACGGTAATGACTGAATATTTATATTGAAGAAATTGTATTCAAGAATTTGTAGCATAGATGCATGCATTTTTTTGTGCAAATTTGACCAATGAGATGGGGCCTTACTATCTTTATATCCACCTCCCCACTGTTATACTATTGGCTAGACCAGACCTAAAGGTGAACTTGAAGTGCCTCAGAGCAGAGAATTGAAAATAAATACTAATGGGGATTATTAGCTGCTGTAGTATAAGATTAAAATACTGTAAAAACAACTCTAGATGTGCATTATTGCACTTATTACACAGCTACTTACGTCAAGATTGAACAATTTGGAACAAAACATTGATCTGAGCTGCAATCTTCTATTAAAATTTAAATTATACGTAAAGCCTAACTTATTTAATATTCAGTCGCTAGATGCCATCAATAAGTCAAGAAAATAAGCAAATATTTTTGGTATTCGGTCAAGACGATTCACATTAAAGTTACTCGGATAAGCCAGAGTTATTAGTTCCAGCGGCTGTTATCTGGGAATAACATACCTCGAAATGTTGTGATGTCAGATTCAAGTAATCCAGACGGCAGTGTAATAAATTTAGTTATTGCAATGTGATTTCTAACAGTGAATGACAGTATTTTCATGAACAATATGAATAAATACTGTAATAAATGTATTGTTCGTTGTTTGTTCATCATAGTAAATACATTACCTTACATGAACTGATTGAACCTTATTGTAAAGTGCCACAAAAAACCCTCTGGTCGTCTTATATCTAAACAATCTGATGTCAATTGAGCGTGTGTTAAGGATGCACTAGAAGAGAATCAGACTGGATATTTAAAAGAGTCTGATAAGAGATCATCTATAAACCACATCAGCTCTCTCTGTGGCCCCTTGATTTGCATGTGTACAGCAGCAGCACCAATACAACCCTGTAATGATTTATATGACATGCAGCCACAGGGAGAAAGTTAAAGAGAAATCCAGTGTGTGTGTGTGTGTGTTTAATTACAGGTGAATGCTGACTGAGAAGGGAGCGTGTAAACTGTGCTGTGAATGGGGCACGCCTTCAGGGCCAAACCAGACCTGAAAAACCAGCTAGCGCTTTCAGTCTAGTGCTCTGATATGGGACGTCAAGTTTGCCTCTCTGCCAAGAGCTGAAACCATCCTCACCAGCACAGACTCATTGCAGGCGGCTTTGCGTTTTTGTTTTTCTGTCCACGGCAGGAGAAGTGTGGACTATGTTCACTTCAGTTCACTGAAGGAGGAGGAGTGGACAGACTAATATTGTGGAGAGAGAGAGAAAAGAAGCTCCTGGACGAGGAACTGATCGCACAGGTGAGCCAGAATCAGCTGAAATTTACTCATTGTGTGGGATCTGCTGGCTGTCATTTGAGGGTCTCTGAGCTGCATGCCTTCAGGTGTGTGTGGAAATGTTTATGAGATTTTTTCAAAGTGAGTTGAATAAGTAGGTATTGTACGGGTCACTTTGTCTTTCAAATGGGCTGAAATAGTTGTAAACCTGTTAACTAAAGTAAACAAACTCATCACAGTTAGGTCGGATCATGTTTCTTGGCTGATACAAAGTAAACATTGGGAGTTCTTACCTTGAGGTGAAATTTATACCCAGTTTGACCCTTGAAAAAAGATTTTTATTGGGATTACTGCATGTCTTCAAAGCGTGTAAGGAAAGATTAATGAAATACTTCAATAAAATTCAGACCAGCTAAAAATAGTTCATGTTATAGACAGTTACAATATAGAAAGAATATTAAAACTCCTCTATTTTGTTTAAATAAATGATTAAAGCTGACAACTGGAATTAATAATCTTAACTGTACAAGGGACTCTTGTCTATCACATGTATGGTGTGATAAATAGGTGTTCATGTTGAGGTTTACTAACAATTACAGTGGTATTAAATTACAGAATTACAGGCATTTTCAAATAATTCCTTTGCCCTCTTCTATTATGTTAGTATTACTATTGATGTTTTTTTAATCTAGGAAATGTACTAAGAGTAAGTTTAGTAAGTCTGTAAACAATTTGTGGAATTACTTTACAAGTTTTTAATTGGATTAAAATTTTAAAATATTAACATTTTAATATGGATTATGTTGGCTAAACCTGTTGGTATGTTGTTAAAAATATCAGGCTGAAATGAAATATGATTCAAGTTACTTTCATTTGTTAAAGAATCAAAAAGGTTTTGATGACTTGATGATAATAGCATTGTTTTCAGTGTGTGTCTTCCTCTTTCTTTGTTTTTATGACTAATGTGTTAGGATATTGAACCTAGAAGCTATGAGAATAGGAACTATTACAGAATTGTTGTTCTCTATATTGAATAAGAGGATGTGCTGTTCTGTACATCCTCAGAGAATCCGATAAACATCACACAATCATTTTATTTTATTTTTTTACTTGCATTTGATGTTTTTGCAAGCTTAGACTGACTTTTCACTGTAAACTTGTGTCTAAGCATTCAGGGAACAAAAGAAGGTTCTTATTAACAATCATCTGAGCTACAATTTTCTACAGTGGGTTTTGAGGTTGCTGTAAGGAGTGCAGGACACGTTTAGGAATCCGGCTTCAGACGGACACAAACATACCTGTGACTTTAAGTGATGAATGGGCCATTGTTTGAGTCAGGGGAACTGAGGACTGATGTGGTGTGTGTAAAAAGACTGTGACGTGCACTAAAGTGCACCTGTGAGATCACTTTTTTTACAAGTTCAATATTGACCCGTAATCTTAAACCAAATTGATCACATTTACTTTCTATTGTATGTGAAATTGATTGATTCACCAAACTGACTGACAGTGACAAATGGTTACACTAACTGAGGTAAAAACAGAATGGTGACATTAGGTGACTACATTTTTATCCGAACTAATCAATGGGGTTTATTTAAAATGAATAAATAAATGAATTAATATACAATTATAAGCCAGTGGTTAGATTCAACAGAAACGTGTTGCAATAATTTATGACCACACCTTCACTTTAGCTGGCAACAAATGATTGAAGAGCGAAGATAATGAGATTAAGAAAGGTGAAAGATCACACTGAGTGCTTTTGCACAGCTGTCGTTTTTTATCTTTGAAACACGAGTTGGCGTTTCATGTAGTTTTTCAGATTTTAGTGTTTTATGTGTATGATTGCTATGACAGTTAAGCCAATGGGCTATATGCACAGCTAGTGTTTTCAGCCAATGATGAGTCTCCGGTAAAAGCTTTATATGGCTATTTTTAATTTCATAAGGTTCCTTATATGGCATTGATATTGTAATGTAATTCAAATATAATCAGATAAAAAGACTAAAGGATTTATTTGATTGATAAAGTGCAAAAAGAGACAAAAGACAATTTAAACACAGGCACCGTCATTAGCAGCAGACGAGCGCAAAAGTTTTATTAAAAATAATGGAGTAAAATTAATTTCCATATTTTAAAGACATGGTGCAGAAAAATATAACTTAATGCAGTGCTTCTCGTATCTCAGCCAGGCAGTGAAGATCACTGTTTTAAATAAATCAGATCTTAAATACGGCGATTTTATTAATCAGAAGCTCTGGGGCTGGCTGACTGTAATTAAAGTTTGTGTGCATATACCTCATATTTTTCATGACTACAACAGCTTTATTTTAGATTCATTTGATTTATTTATTTTACTAAATAATACTTAATATGAGCTTTTGTGCATTTTTTAACCAAAGCTTTTTCTGTTTAATTTTAAATCTGCCACAGAATAAAAATCTGGACATACCTACCTAGACATAGCTAAATAACAAGAATTCAGTACATGGATATGACACCATGAGCCTCAAACACCATTGTTTCTTTGCTTGCGTGTAAATCTTGGGGAAATATGGGCCAATCAGAGCAAAACAAGCATGCCGTTTAATTAGCTGCAATTTGTCCTATAGTGAGATTACAACAAATGATATTTTCCCCTTATTTTTTATACCTTTTAAGTTCATCTAAGCATGAATTATACTTACTGTGTATGTGGGACGGGCAGCACGGTGCTCTGGTTTCAGTCCAAAAAAACAAGTGTTATAGGTGAATTGGGTAAGATAAATTGTCCGTAGTGTATGTGTGTGAATGATTGCGTTTGGATGTTTCCCAGTGATTGGGTTGCAGCTGGAAGGTCATTAACTGCGTAAAGCATATGCTAAATATGCTTATAATTAAGGGATAAGAAAATGGATGAATGTATGTGGGACTTTTATTTTAAAAACTAGACAGGCTTTAAGTCAACTCTACAGTTCTGTAAAGTTGGCAGACATGCATGATGAAGAAACCAGTTTAAAAAATTTGTTTTTGTTTTATGTGTGCACAAAAAACTTCTAGTAGCTTGATATTATTCTGATTGAACCACTAAAGGCATATGGTCTTTTTTGAGGATGTTTTTTTTGTATTTTTCAAGACCATTGCAGTTTATGAAGGATAAGGCAACTCTTAGATTTAATCTAAAATATTTGTGTTTTTCGAAGACAGATGAAGGTATCAGGGAGGTCAATAATTAACAACAGAAATTAAATTAAAGGGTGGACTAACCCTTTAAATTGCTGACTTGAATTGAGCAGAAATGTGTCCCTGTGAGGATTCAAGGTTTGTCATGTTCTGTCATAACTGTTCATCTGTGAACAGTTTAAAGTGGCTGTAAATTAAATCAAGTGGCACAGGCTGACACTTGAAGCCTCTGAGTGTATTATGCCATGTTTTATGGTGGTGTGAACTGATGTCCTGTGCTTCACCTTGTAGCTCTGGCAACACAATTTACAACTATTTGCTGTTCTTCAGTGGTGCGGGCGCTGTATTTTTCTTTCCATCAGCACTGATTGATTCTGTCAGAGAGAAGCTCATAAGAGCTAACCTCAGACATTATGGGCCGTCTGGAACACAAGAGACTGTTTTACGAAGTTGTGCTGAAAATAACAAAGATGAGCTTGGCAACTAAATCAATTATTGGATGACTGACTAATAAATAACATTTTCTAGTCTCATTTCTGCTGTAGATTATTCTGTTCACTTGCACTTCCTGATGATTAATAATAGATAAACATCTGTTAATAAGTAATATGTTATGCAGTAAATACAGTGCTCCGCATATACCAATACACCCCCCACACATCTCTATCATCAATATTATATCTGTGCATGTACATTAGATTAGTCAGTACTGAAGCCAAATGTGGAGCTAATACAACAAAATAACTTACATTAATGGTTAAAACATTAGTAGCCAAAATTTATGTTGTAGAAAAATATTAAACACAAATTTCCAAAAATAGCAAAAATCAACAGAAATAAAAGATATATACAATTATTGTAGAAATGTAGATTATTGTTTAAATGTAGCTTGTAATTTTTTTTGCAATATTTTGCATGAATTGTTTTATCTTTTGTATTATCTTTCCATTTCTAAAGTTGTTCTGTGGCTAAAATATTATTTTATTTAAATATTATCTGTTTGATAAATATGTTTTATTCAAATGCACCAATATATATCACCCATATTCACTGAGTAATGGATAAAATATTGATTTTTAAAATGGGGAGTATTCCTATATGCTGAGGACTGTGTCTGTAACGCTGCCTAATGAATTTAGCAAACAATGTTTTCAGGTTTAACAGTATATAACTAATAAGTAGGCAATACTAAAATGTAATACTTACTGTGGTTTGTCTTTAACAAACACAAAAATATGCATATATAAACATCTGAAGGCAAATATATATTCATTCATTCATTCATTCATTTTCTTGTCGGCTTAGTCCCTTTATTAATCCAGGGTCGCCACAGCAGAATGAACCGCCAACTTATCCAGCAAGTTTTTACGCAGCAGATGCCCTTCCGGCTGCAACCCATCTCTGGGAAAATATATATTTTTAAAATGTAATATTTTGCAACTGATATTTAATAATATGTTACTTCTATGAAAACTTACTTCTTTTAGTTTGGGTAAAATAAAAGCCTTTTTTGTTATATTTTAAAACCATTTTCAAGGTCAATTGAATTTGAGGTCATTAGAATTTTTCCTCGATCGGCTACAAAACAAACCACGGTTGAACAATGACTCGGCTAATTAGCCTTTTAACCTTGTTTACCTATTTAGCCATTAAATGGCGCTTTAATCTGACTACTAGTATCTTGCAAAATAACTAGAAAACATACAAATCTTCCACACCTTCATCAATATGTTTAGTCAAATATTACACTCACGTTTAATAATAATAACTACCTATTTTTAAATTCCCAATTATTACAACCTTTAAAATGTTGTTTATAAAGTGTTTGGTTAAGACACTTTGTTGTAGAACTATACTATATGATCTGTTTTATAAGGTACTGTACATTGTGCTGCAAATGTAGATTTAAAAAAAAGTAATACCTAAACTTCTATCATTAATTACTGACCCCTGGCATTTCAAACCTGTGTGACTTTCTTTGTTTCGTAGAAAACAAAAGAAGATATTTAGAAAAAATGCTAGTAACCAACCAGCAGTGGCACCTATTCAATTTTGTTTTATGGATTGAAAGGTTTCAGTCAACACAAAAGATTACTTATGTGTGCATCTAGCAGTGCCTATATTGACATTTTACCCTCTGACTATTCTATCTCTGGGTGACGCGGTGGCACAGTAGGTAGTGCTGCCGCCCCACAGCAAGAAAGTCGCTGGTTCGAGCCCTGGCTGGGTCAGTTGGCGTTTCTGTGTGGAGTTTGCATGTTTCCCTGCATTCGCATGGGCTTCCTCTGGGTGCTCCGGTTTCCCCCACAGTCCAAAGACATGCGGTACAGGTGAATTTGGTAGGCTAAATTGTCCATAGTGTATGAGTTTGAATGAGTGTGTACGGATGTTTCCCAGTGTTGGGTTGTGGCTGGAAGGGCATCTGCTGCGTAAAACATATGCTGGATAAGTTGGCGGTCCATTCCGCTGTGGAGACCCCAGATTAATAAAGGGACCTATGCTGAAAAGAAAATGAATGAATGAATGTGTTCTATCTCCTATAGGATGATTTATCAGAGCTGCCAAGCACCCCATGTATTCTTGTAGTAGGTAATGTATAGGGTATGCATGTGTTGCATATTTGTTTTATTGCTTTTACACACAAACACACACACACCTTTTGCATTTCTAACATGCACACTCATTTTTTGCATCTCTATAAGGCCGGGATACACCTCACTGACAGTCGGCCTTTGGGCTTCGTCAATATGGCTAGTGTGTTTAGTTTGTTCCACGCGTTGGCTCTCCTCAGCTTTTTAGTCCAGACGAGAGCCAACATTATTTTAAATATTATTGTCCGTTCTGCCAGCCTGATCTCCAAGAAAGCTTAAGTATTTTACGTTTAGCCAATTTAGTGGCTAATTCGTACAAATTAGTACGAGTTCAGTCATACAAAATTGATTTTAAAAAGGAGGTGTGGCAACCTAACCTAACCCCACCCCTAAACCCAACCGTCATTGGGGAATAAGCAAATCGTACTAAATTGTACGAATTAGATTGTACGAATGCATATAAATTAGCCACTAAATCAAAAAGTTATGAATTGCCGTGAGATTGTGTTGGTTCTGCTTAGCACAGAAAGGAAATTTGTCTTTAACACTAGATTTAAGACAACAATTGCATACTTACAACAATCACACAATAACAACACTCATCAGGACAATAACATAAGCTCAAAATTTTAAAAACAAATTAGTCTCATACATATTACTGCACATTCTTGACAACCACTCCATTCACTTCAAACAGTGATCCAATTTAAAACAACAACTACAATTGGGATAAATTACTTTTTTCTAAGCATTTCTTCAGGCCTTAGGCATTCTAAACCTGCGTCCTGATGGTAGCATTTCAAACACTGAGTGAAGGCGATGTGTATTATATTTAAAAATCGCAACTGCTGTTTTTTCCATAAAGGAGTCAAACGGAAACTGCGGTGAATGTTGTTTATGACCAGTTATCTTATTTGCCTGATTGATAATTTACGATAATTTCTTTTTCTTTTTAAGTGTTGTGGTACCAAACCATGAAACAATATTATATGTGAGAACACTCTCTATCAATGATCTATATGCCATGTTTAAAGTCTGTGTAACATTAAATCTTCTTAACTTGCAGAGGAGACTGAGGAGATGACTGAGGCGCCTTCTTATAAACAGCCTCTACATTACTATTAAAAATCAGTTTATTGTCAATAATTGTGCCTAAATACTTAAAGTCTGAGACCTGCTCTACTATTTTTCCATTTAGGATGACTGGTTTATAAAATCTAGTATCTACTGCTCTTGTTTGACTCCCCAGACATAGCTCTTTTGTTTTTCCAATATTAAGATGTAATGAACTTTTGTCAAACCAATCTGTGATACTATTAATATGTTTAAAATTTAAGGAGCTATTCATTTCTTCCTGACAGGAAACCAATACAAGATCATTGGCGTATTTTATAAGAGTGAGATTATCATCATCATCAACATCTACACAGTTTGGTTTCGTCGGTGCTAGTTATTTTGCATCAGCTTAGTGTGTCAAAAAATATTATGTTCTGTCATCATGGCAAAGACCAAAAAATTTAGTTTATCAGAAATAAGTTACTAAAACTATTGTGTTTTAAAATGCGTTTTAAAATATCTTCTCCCCATTGAACAGCACTTGGGAAATATTTGAAAAAGTTTGCAGGAGGGCTAACAGCTTTGACTTCATATTATTATTAATAGTATTATGATAATTATTATTATGTTAAGTTGTTTTAATAAATGCGATAAACCCAAACTAAAATTAATGATTTTAAGCCAATTTTGGGACTACAACATTATAATGCATGGCATAAAAGTATAGCTTTTGAGATTTGCTAAAAATGAGAGTGGTTTTATTGGTGTTGTCAATTATTATTGTTATTATTATTATTATTATTTATTCTCACATAACACTGCTTAAAAGCGTTAATACCTTAAAATATCCAAAGTTTTCTAATACAGATAAATTAACAGATAACAAATGAAATCTGCATTTAAGTAAAATTAAGGTGTTGGTTTTTGGTTCTAGGACACTCCAGTATCCAACTCAGTGACAAAATTAGACAGTGCATACATTTTTTCACTGTTTTGCACTGAGCAATGGGCTGTGGAGCCCACGCTGTCAGATGCATAATAGCTGTTACGAAACGGAAGGCTTTGCATGGTTTGTAGTCGCCGGTGTATTTGAATATAATCTGCAGGTGAAGAATAGACTTCAGCTGTGCTTTAAAGTGTTTGAGCGTGTAGGAGTGAGCGAGCGTATGAATGTGCTTGCTTGAGTGATCTGAATTGAAGTGCTCCCTTGCTCTTGTTCAGTTCTTTATGGCCAATGCCGTTTGCCGTTTAAAGCAGCTCTGACTGTATCATCCAGGACACTACACGCTCAATTAAATGGCTGCTGTATAATTTTGAGCTTGCGGTGAGACGCTGCAGTTCAGGACGACAGAGACTGGGAAGTCAGCGAGTACAAGCTCCTGAAATAAATCAAATTTCTTCTTATTCGGAGCTTGACTCTTATTCCTACTTTGAAAAAATCATGCAGGACTAAAGGAGCAGGACAGATTGTGCTGTGTTTTGACTGCTGAAGTTATGGCATGTGGTGATTTAAAAAAGGGAAGTTGATTAGTGTGTGAGATGTTTATTGCTGACAGATATATGAGAGCATGATATACATCTCTCCGACTTTCTTCAGCAGATTCATGTAAACCATTTAAACACATAACCTCTATGTCAAGTATCTATATACCTAAAATCTGATCTGAGGAATCTAATCTTTCAATTTGGGGATGAATTAGTAGAATTACAATACAGTGTCTGAAAAAGCTCCCACATGAATGAAAAATACTAACAAATAAAGAAGTATTTTCATCAGTTTGACAACACATGAGAGTGTAAATTGAGAAACAAATGTGTCGGGGACCCCCCAAAAAAATGACAAACTCGACAGTTTCCAGTTTATATTAAGAAAGACATTTATTATTAGCAGTGCACTTAATCAAATCAACAGGGCTAAAATATATAAACAAGAAACCACCAGGTAAAACCACGTTAATATAAACAAAAAACTCTCAGATGTCACTTTTTGGGGTCCCTGGACACATTTTCGTTACAGTCTGCATTATTTGTGGTACGTTTCTGTATTTGCATGTGTTGTGCTCGTGCACGTTTGGTCAAATTTATAAAAATGTTCTTACAGTCTGTTAGTGATTTTTATATATGCATGTGTTTTCTTAACGTACTAAATGTTTGTGTTCTCTCAGTCTCAGCCAATGTATCATCTCTAATTTAATTAGGTGGTTATTAAACATAATGCATTATGTATTGTGATTAAAGTCACCAAAACAGCAGTTTGGTTTAATTAACATTTTGTTTTGAGCTAGGCAAACATATGTAGAGCTAAAAGCACAAGAACAAGGCATTGAGAAATTTGGTAGTTGTAGTGTAGAATCATAATATGAAGTCATTCCTTAATTTTAGGAATATTATGTTCAAGTAGCCGAAGTGATGTTGTTTGCTTAATCTTTTTCATTCTATTTTCAGGAGAAGTCTGAAGATGCAGAGGGCGAGCACAGTATCTGTGACCCAGGCCACAACACAAAACACCACAGCCTTCACCAAATCTAGAGAACAAATCCTTACACAGAGTAAGTTTCGCATGCATCTGCACTTCAAACAGTTAAAGTCTTATTAGGCCAGTGGTTCTCAACCAGGGGGGCAGGGCCCAACAGTGGCCTTTAACTAACTTTTAAAAAATGTTAAGATTCACCGTTTTAAACCTCTCTACAATATGGTTTCTTGTGCACTGCACATGCATGTGTTCTGTCTTCTGGCAGGAAGAACAAGTGGAGGCTTTTTGGAATCCACTTTATGTCTTTTCTCAATCGAAATCTATGCTATGTTTCCATCTACCTATCTTTATGCACATTTTGGGATATTGCATTTAAAATGTTTAATGGAAAAGCCAATGTTTACACATACAGTACATTTTGAAAAAAATGCGAAAAAAGCTTATTTGCACAACTAAGTAGGACAAACATATTATCTGATAATAAAAATGTGCCTGAACTATAATGGACACATGAACACAAATTCCAGCACATCTTCTGAGGTGCAAGCAATTTATGTGAGAAAAAAGCCCCACAGTGGGTTCTAAAGCAGCAGCAAACTTCATTTTTCTTTTTGATATTTGGTGCCAGTTCATCATGAAGTGATGATTTGTCTTACTGGATGGAAACAGTGCTTTATTTGAAAATATTTTATGTTATTCCACTTTTGCGCAAAAATCTAATTCACATCTTTTCAAACAGACACTATAAAAATATCCATAAATTAGCAGTTTTCCGTATTTTGTGATTCATGTTAAATTTTCCCCATTTATTTATACTTCTGAAGTGCATTATGGGACCTTGATCATTCTACAACAACTTTTAACTTTGAAAAGTTATCGAAGGAGACGTTTATTAATATTTTAATAGTTTTAAAGTACGAAAATGTTGAATTTTTAACATCAAATGTCATGAAAGCAGAGAACAAGCTCCCATAATTCAATTCTTAACCGTTAAGAAACAGAAAACACTTGTGTATTACAAAATACTGCAAGAAATTAAGTCTGCCTCGACACAACTTTCACTCTAAGTGGTGTGTTGATGCTTATTTCCCAAAAGGGCTGAAGTATGATAGAAAAGAGAAGTCAACAGTTTGTTGTCTCTGCATTGTTTGAGGTGAATATACCTTGAGCAAATGGTAACAACTGTAGAATGGGGATGGGTATTTGGCACAGAGATGTTGTGGAAACTGCATTAACATAGAGAGACAGAGAGAACAGCTGTGTCAACAGCAAATTCATTAACATAAAGGCAAGTCGGCAACGCTGTGGCGCAGTGAGTAGCACGTTCGCCTCACAGCAAGAAGGTCGCTGGTTCGAGCCTCCGCTGGGTCAGTTGGCGTTTCTGTGTGGAGTTTGCATGTTCTCCCTGGGGACTAAGGGACTAAGCCGAAAAAATAAAATGAATAAAAGAATGAATAATTAAAGGCAAGCCTAAAGGCAACAACAGTACAGTATAAAAGATTTGAGTTGAAGAATGTTTGGCTTCATTCTGACTCAGATGAAATGCACGGATACTGCTGTGTACTTTGAGACTGCTGTGCTGAATAAGCATTTCCAATAAGATCTTCTATATCCTCCATATTTTTCTTACAATACAGAAACTGTTAATTAGCAGATATTTTTAAGTGTACAATCATGACATTTTGAAGAAAGTTTAACCTGTGATTGAGGAGATTTATTTATGACACAATTCTTCCTTGCCATTGGCCTCACATGTTAAAAAGACCTGTCATGAACCTTATGAAAAAGTATAACATCTTCAAATCCAAAAACAACATAAGACGATCTGATTTGTTTATTTATTATCTGTTGTTCACACGCACAATTCATTTAAAAGAGATAGAGTGCAAGGTTTCTATTTTGTGTTCTTATGCCATCACTGGACTAAAAACTCTGAACTTCCATTGGTGAATTAGGGCAAGGCTCATACCCATGCCGTAATTTATGTCTCAGAGTGAGAGTTTTGAATGGTGTATTGGACAAAACATTCTCATGACTGCACTTCGCTGTCTTTTCCATTGTTTTGTAAACATGAGCTAATGGATGTATTTGTTGTGTTCACATATAATATCTTTTACAGCACCTCATGCATGACAGAATTGTAAGAATATAGTGGCCAAGAAGTTCACATTTAAAAAGAATCTTCCTATCAGCTTTCATAGGCCAAGAATCACCCAGAGGCAATCTGACTGACGTGAAAAACAACCAGTCATGTTACAGTTTGTTCTGTTCAGGGTCATGAAAAATAATTGTTTGCTTTGAAGGGGTGAAGTGTCTAAAATTGTACCGATCATAATAAAGTCTACATGAAATCAAAATGTACAGTTTATTCTTATGCACACTATTAGTCTTAGACATTGTCTTAAAAAAATTTAATCCACTGAAAAAAATGTGGTTTGTAATCTTTAATCAAAATCTGACCATTTGCTTCTGCTATAGTATGACGTCGTCTGATTTCAGCTTGACCAAAATATACTTAGTTTGATAAGTTAGTTTCGATTCAAGTGAACTTTAAAAGCAGTTCAGATTTGCATTTTGTCCAAGCTATCTAAGATGCAACACCAAGACACTATGAATCTATTTTTGTCTGTGTTAATCTGAGCATTTGTCCTCCTAATCAACCCTCGACTGTGATACTTGAAGTGTTTATTTTAGAAATAGTTTACATTTCTGCGATCACGGCTGACAACCTTAGGTGCTGATTATGTTTTATTTAGTGTTAAGCCGCAGTCACACTAGAGTTGCGTACAGTGCTGCTTTAAGTTTTGATCATGTTTTGATCTTCTATTGGGCTCACGCAATCAGGTGATGTGATTTCACAGGTCAGAGTTCACCAAGCTTGAACTTAGCAACGCAGTGCCATGCAAAACTTTTCACATGAGCTTGTGTTTCCGGTTTGCTCATACAAATTTGCATGCATATGAATGAAAGTCTATGAGACAAAAAGTGAAGTGTGACCGCGGCTTTAGGGTTAGGTTGAATACCAGTTTGTGTGACATTTATTGCCATACTGAAAGCACCAACTGATGTTTACCTCTGGCGTTAAAAATAAAATAACTGGCAAACATATAGTTTATACATTAATGCTTAGATGTAAAATGCAACTGCGAACCAACAAGATCAGTTACTCAGTATGTACTTTTAATAATGCTAATGGATTTAGTATTTATTAGTTAGATTATAGGCGATGCGGTAGCACAATCGCCTCACAGCAAGAAGATCACTGGTTCGAGCCCCGGCTGGGTCAGTTGGCATTTCTGTGTGAAGTTTGCATGTTCTCACCGTGTTCACATGGGTTTCCTCCGGGTGTTCCGGTTTCCCCCACAAGTCCAAAAAACATGTGGTAAAGGTGAATTGGTTAAGCTAAATTGTCCATAGTGAATGAGTGTGTATGGATGTTTTCCAGTGTTGGATTGCAGCTGGAAGGGCATCTGTTGTGTAAAACATGGTGGATAAGTTGGCGGTTCATTCCACTGTGGCAACCCCAAATTAATAAAGAGATTAAGCTGAAAAGAAAATGAATGAATAATTAGATTACAAACCGTTCCTATTTCACTATTCTGCATTTCTGAATTGCTGTGGGATTTCATGTTACATGTTGCATATTGGAAATCTAAACTGCTGGACTCTGATGGACACAGTGATTCACTGCGTTTCATTTGAAAGGGCTCATCCTTATGCCCTAATGCTTCGAAGGGTTTACCCTTCAGAGTGACAGCTTCAAAGGGATTAGGAAATAGGGACGAGCTCTTCAGAATGGAATGAATTGTGTGACACCCAACAACTTCCCTGCACAAAGGATCATGGCTGCCCGAAGTGTCTATCAGATTTACCCTTTTGAAATACTTCATTCCAAAGAGCACTTTGAAGTGGCCAGTATTGAGCACTTCGATTTAGAATGACACTTCAATATGGTGATGATTACTGCTTTTACTCTGAAGTGCCCTTTGGACTTTCAGAATGTCTAAATCAGCATGAGTTTTCATTGGCCAATGAGTATTCAGAGGCTATCTGAGTGACATGTAAATCAACCAATAACAGAAATCTCACATAAATCCTTCTGAATTTTGAAGTGTTTTTAATTTTGCTTTCAATATGCATCAGACTTTCAGCCTGTGGAAAGGCTGAATATAGAACATCTGTGGTTGAGACTACACTGTAAATATAAAAATAAAAAATAGTAAAATTTCTGGTAAAAAAAAAAAAAAGGAGCTGTAGTTGCTAGAATTTACCCATTACAATATAGCAGGGAAAAAAATAAAATTCATGCAGGGAACGTGAATTTTTGATTGTTTACCGATTATTAAGAAAACTTACCATGAAACAGTTTACAAATGTTTATCGTAGCATCCTTACTGTTTATTACTGTTTAAATGACAGATATTTTTCAGTGTACTGATTTGAGTCTTGTGTTTTTTAACTGGTGTGAAAATTGTGTACAATGGGCTCTTAAGCTGTCGCACACAATGTTGACGTTGTGACGATGTATGGGAGCAAGACGTCTAGAAGCATTTGAACATTGTGAGCGTCTCAGTTCCTGTAACTTGTTCTACAACGTATTTGAAATAATTCACATTCAATTCTGAATTGTATATCTTATCATTTTTCTTATTTTGCAATCAAATGAGTGAACTGAAAATCGAATATGCTTTTTTGTTGTTGTTGTTGCTTCAAATAGAACTTGTCTTTCAAATATTTAGTCTTTTGGGGGGGGGGGGGGGGTACTGAGTGGGTGATATTGGCTTTACTGATATTTATTTGTGTGTGATTGATTTGAATGATTGGTTGAATTATAGATTGGAAAAGAAAAAAAATCAACCCTTAATATTCACAATATTTCTAATGTAACATCCTCTGTCTGTTGTTCACAGGCTCAGGAGCCATGATAGCTGTCATCGTCATTGGTATAATCATCATTCTCACATTTTTGCTCATAGTCCTCAAGACGTACAACAGGTAAGGCAACATTTCGATGCAAGCATAATGAATGAGTAACATGCCACGCGGTGAACTCCTTTTCTTTCTGCTCACAATAGCAGGACAATTTTAGACAGGCCATGTAAAGATGCTGAATAAAGATTAGAGGCCTATTCATCCGAACACACTTGAGCACACTTAGAAATGTTCTCAGGGCTCAGGATAAGATTATAAAAGATGTCAGATCTGTTTCTCTGTTGGGTTGATTTATTTGGGTTGTGAGTTCAGAGCAGCACCAGTGGTACAAATCTAGCCAATATACAGAAGCAACTTAACATTTTTATTATTATTATTATTATTATTATTATTATTATTATGGTCAATAGAATAGGGAATGAATTTCTCTAATTTAACCCTTTAGTCTCTTTGATTAAATCATGTTCTGTTGTTTAATGTTTAATGAAAAGCAGGCAGTTGTGATGCGAAGATAAAGGGTTAAAAATGTTTATTTATTTTTAAGTTGGTCATTAAAAAAAGCTATTGGAGTACATTTTAGAAGAAAATAGTGTTGTATTTTTACTTTTAAATGTTCTGTATTAATAGGTGAATATGTATTATTCAGTGTGTTACTGAAATAAACAAAAAACACACTTTTAAATGTCATTTTAAATGCTTCAAGTGGATTTATACATTGCAACATTAAATTATGCAACGTGATAAAATATTAAAGATTTAATAAATAGTATATTTGTTTTAAAATGATCTGTCAAAATGGAATGGAATGAAGAGGATCATGCATTTACATATGAGCAATTCCATGCAAACAAAGTTTCACCAAAATAGCAAAAGTCTTTCTAAGGTTTTTATAGGCTTGTTTTTTTACTTTACTATAAAAATAATATTTTCAAATAATAATATATGGTGTACCAAAACACATCCAATTTCACATCTGTCACATCCAAAACAATGCTTTTTCCTCATAAATGCAAAAATTTCAAATAAAACTCATTCATTTTCTTTTCAACTTAGTCCCTTTATTAATCAGGGGTTGCCATGGCGGAATGAACCGCCAACTTATTCAGCATATGTTTAACACAGTGGATGACCTTCCAGTTGCAACCCAGCACTGGGAAACAGCCACACACACTGACATGCACACACATACATTACAGGATAATTTAGCTTATTCAATTCACCTATAGCGCATGTCTTTGGAATTGTGGCGTAAACCGGAGCACCCAGAGGAAACCCATGCGAACACAGGAAGAGCATGCAAACACCACACAGAAATGCCAACTGACCCAGCTGAGGCTCAAACCAGCGGCCTTCTTGCTGTTAGGCGATCGTGCTACCCACTGCGCCACCATGACGCCAGTAGAGTAAAATAAATAAATTAATGAATTAATTTTTGTTCTATAGTGATGCCAACTCTTATCCTTTAGATCAGGGGTTCCCAACTAGTTTGGCCATGGGACCCACATTTTTACATGGTCATCAAGCCGCGACCCAAATTTTTAGGAACTATAATACAATTTTAGCAATTATACTTTATTTGTATTTATTTTTAACATAAACAAGTAGTGACAGATACATCATAAGAAATTCACCAAAACTTACAAATAAATACTATTTTATTGCTGTCATTTAACAAAATGGATCAAATTATAGAAATATTACAAAGTAAAAACGACAAATACTGTTAATATCAAACTGTTAATAAAATATGTTTTCTGGTTTCTAAACGTTGATTTAATTTAGAAAGTTTCATGCTCTCTTATGAGAGCACCTCACTACATATGACACTGAAGCTTTAAGTCTTTTTTGTTGTCAATATATATATATCCATACTTTACATATTCGGTGTCATACTTTCGCTTGACATATTTGTTGCAATAATTAAATGAAATTTCACATGTCAAACGGTAGGGTTGTTGCGCACGCATTTCACAATAAAAGTCCGGTGAAAATGTAAACTTTTGTTGTTGTTTTTTAAACACACACTCCACGACCCACTGAAAATGTTCCCGCGACCCACCTTTAGGTCGCAACCCACCAGTTGAGAAACACTGCTTTAGATTAGCATTATTTCTTTTGGGTTGTGCAATTAAATTCATTGAATTTCTACAAAGTATGTTGTGTACTGTAAGACTTTTTTGTCACATCCATAACACATGCTTATCATTTTAAATGCTTTAAGTGGATTTTTTGTCACATCCATAACACATGCTTATTTTCCTCATTTAAAATCTAAAAAATGTTCATGGGTTGAAATATTTCTGATCCCACAACTGATGTGGTTAGTCGTTATGAAAAATATAAACAATATAACGTTTCAATATAACGTTACCATGTACTCATTCATTTATTTTCCTGCAGCTTAGTCCCTTTATTCATCAGGGGTCACCACAGCGGAATGAACTGCCAACTTATCTAACATGTTTTACACAGCAGATCAACTTCCAGCTGCAACCCAGTACTGGGAAACACCCACACACTCTGATTCTCTCTCACATACACACACACTCTTACACTACAGCCAATTTAGCTTATTCAATTCACTTTGGACTGTGGGGGAAACCAGAGCACCCGGAGGAAACCCACTCGAACATGGGGAGAACATGCACACTTCACACAGAAATGCCAACTGACCCAGCAAGGACTTGAACCACTGAGCCACAATGTTGCACATTAACATATACTTTCTCAGTGAATTTAGGTTTTGAGTTTTTACTGCATATGTTACATCCATAATGCTGAAATTGCCCACATCCAATATTGATACAACCGAAAAGCTTCAATTTCAGCCTAAAAATCTAATCTGATTCATTAAAAAAAATAATTATATTTATCCATCTTGCAGGAGGACTCACGCAAAAAGGATGCTGTCAGGAGGCTCCAGCAAACCAAGAAAGAAAGTGTCTTCAACCACCACAAATACAAACCTGGCCATGAGCAACGTGGGCACCAGCTCAGCTTCTGGAAGCTTCATTCAGTCAAACGGATCCTCTGAAAACGGCTTCCGAATCCCTCGGGTCGACCTGGGAAACATAGACCACAGTAATGGAGAGCATTTCAGCACCAACAGCGGCTCGACCATCGTGACGATACACGACATGCCATCAGTTGATAACACATAGCAGACGTTACCTGGTCCCACACATTTGAAGATAACACACCAACATGAACAAAGGACCTAAGGAAAGTTTTAACTCCTGCCATCCCTGTTTAGGATCTCGTGGAACTTTGAGGAAAGTCCACTTTAAAAGAGCGTATTTATGAAGAACCTGAGGAAAACTACAGACCTGACATGATTATGGTTTTATTTTTAGCACCGGATTTGGTGAGGAAATGTAGGCTAAAAGATTTTATCGCCTTGAGCTGGAAACATTCATTAAAAATGAGCCAGAATTCTATTAGCGAGTTTTAAGGATGCCTTGCGAGTTTAACTTCTGTATTAATCACTGTGACATTTGCACTCTAGTAGTAAAGTCTCCCATAAAAGTTTGTTCAAACATTATCATGCTGAATTGACCAACTATTGATCCAAAGCGGCTTACGAGTCCAAAGGTGTATATATATTGTGTTTAAATGCCATCCCTGGAACCATAACGATGCTAATATTGCCACTGTAGGACTAAAGTGGCTTTGGCAAGTTAGGAAATTCCTGGTTGTGTTCCATTTTCTAAATTCAGTGTTCATCTGTATGCCCTTTGAAGGGTTTAAGGGTGTAAGGGATCAAAATTTAAAGAAGAGTAAGTGTCCATCACTTCTGGCCTTCATTCTGAATGTTTTTAATGGCCAGTTTTGAGCACTTCGGTTTGGAGCAGTCTGTCAATACGGCGGCCATGATTGAATCTAAAAGTCCACACAGAGGTGGATTTATCCTACTTTCAAGACAGCAATTGTGTGAAGTCAGATGTTTTCTGTGAGTTGCTGTTAATTTCATGTTTAGATGTGCCAGAGTTTACTGTGTGAAACAACAAATGGCTTGTATGAAACATGAAAACGATGATTTCTAAACATTAACTGGTCACACACACACACACACACACACACACACACACACAAAGCATGGATTTATTCGAAATTGCCCCTATACCCTCATTCACTTTTCTCTACATCAGTCCACTAATAAACTCTACATGAGTAAATTTGAGCATGATGCACCAAAAGAGAGGTATATTTGTTTGTGCTTTGCTGGTTAATAAACATGAAATAAAATTGCTGTCAGTGTTTATGTTGTCTAATCCCTGCTGGAAAAAACAGCACATGCTGGTAAGGTGTTTTGATGCTAGTGCTGCTCAGGACCATCACTCAGACCAGAAAAACCAGCATTAAAACTGGCAGCAAGACCAACATACTAGCATCAATGCTGGTTCTATGCAAATATGCAGTTTTTTTTCCATCAGGGTTAGTAATGAAACAAAGTATTCTATCATGTACACGTTAATTTTACAATAAATAATCAGTTATTTACAAACTTACACTGATAAGATACTGCGGTTGACGCCATTTTGTCGCACACGCGGGAAATCATTCTCCTCAGTAAGGAACCCTCAGCGTACATCTGTTCACTCGACTCGTTATTGCGGTGCATTGTAGGATTGATTGGGGTCACTTCAGAACGTCTACTATATGGTTTCGGACACGAATATAGCTGTTTTGTTTCCTTAAATAATGCAGTATTTAAGGCAGATGTCTTCAACCCTGTTCCTGGAGAAACACCTTCCTGCAGAGTTTAGCTCACAACTGAACAAGTGTATTAATTTAACAGGACCTGAAGCAGCACTTAAAGATCAGACAGGTTTGCAACTGAAACCTGTAGGAAGAAAGAACTCAAGGAATGGGGTTGAGGACCCCTGATTTAAGGGTATAGTAGGTAATTTCGGATATTTTTTATATACATATACCTGGCCAGCAGGTGGCGATGTCACTTCTTCTTAGACACAAAAGTGCAGTCCTAAAATCTGCCATTGTTGTTTTTGGATGTCAACTACATTTATATGCCAATAGACTGAATGTATGTACATTTTAATGTTTTGTAGTTTCCACAAAGATGATGATGGAGTTGTGTTTTAAAATGTGCACTTTGAACATTTTTTTTTAAGAAAGATTCTCACTACTTTGTTGAATTAGCAAATCAGTGAATCTTTCACTGCAATCTCTGACTAAAGAATCATTGATATGTTGTCAGATCTGAAATGAATGGGAACCATTATCTGGTGTTTAAAGATGCATTAACAGTTTTATCCTAATAAATATTCTGAAATGTTTTTTTTATATTCATTATTGGTCATAGTAAGCAGATCCAAATGCAATGTTAATACTAAAGATTTAGTTTAAAATTGCGTTGTAACAAAAGGCTTCTATATTTAAATGTTGGGGACAATATCAGATTTCTTGTCCTGGTCTGAAAGCAGAGAAAAGTTGAAAAGTTTCCAGTGAGCCACACTTCATCTCCTCAAGTAACCTCAAGAAAATTTATTCACAATCTGCAACAAAACTAAAGTATTGCATAAGAATAAAAGAAAAGAAAGAAGAAAATTACAGCAGCGCTTGATTATATAAACATGTAGAAAGTTTTTTTGTCTGTGAACACAGTTATACCAAGCTCTCTGGCTAATGTTCTAGTGCAACATCTCAACAAAAACAGGCACAAGATAAACTTTTTTTTCTGAAGGAGATCAACTCACATTTTGCATGAGGAGACATTTACAGCGATAAAGAAAAAGATGCAAGAACACATATTCTGCGTACTACTCCAAGGCAACCATGTCAAGAAGATCAGTCCTTTCAACACAACAGTGTTTTCATTAGAGCTATGATAGTGTCTTCTGTTATTGTTTAATATCAAGTGCAAAGTAATGGATACTGGAAGTAAATGATTGTTAAAAGCCTTCCTGAACAGAGCTGCAAATGATATACATCGTATGCGTCATAATTTCATCATACCGAGTGTGAATCTGTCCAGATCTACAGTGTCCATCTATTGCTGAAGAATATGGTTAAATGAACAGTTTTTTATTATTTATTTGTATTTATATGGAAAGGAATTTCTTCAAGACCAAAGAGAGTACATATAAGGCATTAACCTGTTACACACTCAGTTTGGAGAGGGAAAAAAAAGACATAACACTATAAATTAAGTACAAATATAAGCAGATTTTACCTGAGAAGGAAAAGGTGCCACAGCAGAAGTAATGGCACATGTCACATACACACAACACATGATGGCCTTTTAAGTTAGCAGAATACTGAAAAATAAATTAAAAGTCTTTCCTAAATTTTGGAAACTGCTTCGACTGTTGTGGTCAAATATGTTTTTCTTTTTAAGTGCTCAGTTAAGTGCAGTTTTTGTGTGGGACTTAAGACAGCTGGGCTGCACTGGCTTCATTTCACGCTGGTAACACCCTCAGAAGTGCTCATAACTCATCTCGAAACTCCGCCAGTTCATTTTCACCTGATTTATAGTTTCATTCATCGATTATTAGGAAGATATTCGTCTTCGTCAGCCAATCGTTTGGTCTTTGAAACCTCTCCACATTTGTTTTAACATACACACAAAAAAATACTTTCAGCAGAAAATTACAGACTAGAAAAATAAATATCGTTCCACCTGTTCACCTTTCGTTGAAGAGCAAATGAAGAGGGAAAATAATAATGATAATATATTTGGACATTTCAAGATGCGAGAACTCCACGTTGGATCACGTCTGAACCGTATCGTCTAGTCATAGGGCTCGGAAGTCTCTGGGTGTGACACCTCTTACCCTGCTCCGATTGGCCGAGATCAGACTCTTCCAGATGGCGTCGATTCTCACTTCCCGTCCGCAGCCGGGTCCTGATTTGAGGAGAGGAGGGGCTTGTGCTAAACGTTTTTAAGGAAGAGTTTTGGTCTGCGGTGTTGTCTGCCTCCTGCCTCTCGGTCTGTCTCCCTGCTGACGTTCTCTCACTGCGTTTGGGGATTCGGAAACTGCCCCAGTTTTTCAGATGCCGCCCGGATGTTCCATTTGGCACTAGTTTTCCCTGATGGCTTGCGTTTGTCTTCCTCGGCGATCCGCTGTACATGTTTGGAGCAGTGGCTACAGAATTAGCGTTAGTGTGAGACAGCAGCAATCTGTCATCCATTGTGTCGAGCTCTGTCTCACTGCTCAGCGTGTCCTCCATAGACTTTGCATGCCTCAGTTTGTCTTTAATAGACACCTGGTCCCATAGCTTGCTCTTTCTCCTCCTGTCCTCCAGAGGACGCTCACTTTCCTCCTCTTTTCTGTGAGACTCACCGCTCCTCGTCCTGCCCTCAGAACGTCTAGATGAAGCAGACATCACTGTCTCGCTTCTCACAGAGTCTCCAGAACTGGGAACGCCGTCCATGAGCATCTTTGCAGGCTTGTCTGCTTCAATATGCTTTGAGGATCTGTAAGAGTTGCTTCCCTTCTCGCTGGAGCTCAGTGTGCTGTTCTGCCCACAGTGGCCCTTCAGAGGCTGAGGAGATGCTGGCACAGGTGGCGTCGTACGGAAATAAAACATAGCCTCCTCCAAACGTCTAGTAGAGGATATACCTGACCAGGAGAGAAAACAGAAGAGGTCAAATGGTTTGAATCACAGGTATTAAACTCAATTCCTGCAGGGCCGCAGCTGTGCAGGGTTTTGTTCCAACTCTAAGCAAACACAAATTATCCAACTAATCAAGGTGTTCAAGACTACTAGAAACTATAAAAGGTCCTATGAAATTAAAATGAAGTTTTTTAGATGTCAGTATCAGTATTATTAGTTTTTAGGATATCTATAAGCTAGCGCACCCCAAAAAAGTGACAAAATTGGCGTTTAGAAGATACAAAACTGATATAAACATGTAAAGCTTGTAATTTGTCACTTCTCCCTAAATGGATCAATAGATTTATTCATGTCACCTCATACTTCAGTTTCTCATTACATCATAACCAGGGATGCTCTGATCAGGATTTTTGCAGCTGAAACAGAGTACAAATTCTTTGTCATGGTGATCGTCAGATTCCAAGTACAGATTCTGATGCTTCAAGCTTTATAATGCAAAATAGTTCATTTTCCCTTTAAGTATGATACTTTATTTATTTTCTTAGGTGAGGCGAGATCATCACTTTTGCTGCATGTAATCCCTTAAAACGTCTATTAAAACCATTTAGTTCGGAAATGTCATGGTCAAAGGGAGTTTTACAGAAAATAATAGAAAAAACATTTTAAAAATCGGTAAGAAATGATTAACAATGCAATTTGGAAACATTGCAAATGATGGAAGAAGAATTCAACATGTTTCAATGAAGAAAAAGTTTGGAGCGCATAATTGATGCATAAGAAGTTAACCTTACCGATGTAATACTTAGAACATCACTGTGTTTCTCTCAATCTGTTCACGTTCACTCAGTCTTATTACCACTTCCTCTACGTGTAAACTCAACAACAAACTCTTGCAATCGGTTCATGAAATCGGCCAGATTGGCGAGTACCGATTGAGTCATGAAATGTGAATATCAGCTGACACAGATCTCTAGCCGATCAATTGGAAAATCCCTAATCATAACCTCTCATGTCTGACATGCCCCACCCCCTTAAAGACACTTTTCATTTGATGCACTAGAGCTCAACCACTTCTCACTGGCAGAGCTGAGGAAAAACAAACACTTTTGGCTGTTTGATTTTTTGTTTTTGTTCTTGTTCTTTAAGGGGAGGAGTTAAGCTCTCCCACCCTTTCTTTATGTTTCGGTTTAAGATTACATCAAAGATTGAATAAAAATGCATTTTTCAAAGCACTTTACGGGGTCTTTAAGTAGGTGTGAGTTGGAGGTCTATAGATTTCGAGTTTGACACCCCTGGCTTCAGTACTCTTTAAGTGAGCATCATACTAACCAGTGACGCGGCCCTGCTCCAGCAGCCTGACGTGGTGATGAAAGATCTGCTCCTGCACTCGGCACAAGGTCCGTTTAATCCTCTCCCGTCGGCTGACCATATACGTCAAATTACGCACCTGAACACACATATATGTGGATGAGACATACAATAATCTACAAAGAAGCTTTAAAAAAGCATTATATATAATAGTTAATATATCATTCTGTTTGGCATGTGAGAACCAATGAGATGTTCTTGCAAATCAAGCAAGGTAAATAAGTTGATTTTCTAACTCTTTTCTACATACAAACAACAATCTAAATTAATCACTTGCTTCAAATAGATTCCTTTTGTTATGTATTTTAGAGGATTCTAATGTGTCAAACATGCACAGACTTACATTCAATGAAAAAACAATGATTTGAGAATGAGAAGAATAAAGGATCTTTTGTGTTTGTAGTGGAAGGGTTTGGATCAACATGATGGCGAGTAAATGTGTGTGCTTCACACAAGTAATTTAGATCAGTAAATTAAACATTTGTGTATCATACATTTGTACAGGTGTGTGTTTTAGGTTTTGGCCTAACAACAAATTTAATGGTCCAATGGCAAAACACTGATGTGATAATGACTGTGGCACGACAGAATGAAACAGGGAAAGAAATTTAAATGTTACTAATAACACTTACATCATTCACTGACTAACCAACGATACTGAGTAAAAAAAGACCCCAATGATGCACTATACGCTTTGTAGTGTAAACATTTATAAAAGTTATAAAATTAGAGTTTAGAGTTTGAAGTTTTACATATTGAAGTTTTACATATAGAATAGCAAGTGAATAATGAGTGAATTTGGGAATCTTGGGGAATCAGTCAAAATTCAGGACTCAGTTGCTTTAATAACATGAATGCTCATGTGGTCAGATGCATTCAAACAGCCACAAAAGACCACATACCATGTGCCCACTCACTCAAATATGATCATTATGAGATGTGCTGCACTAAAACAAATAAAAGGTGTTCATACTTTTTCACTGTACCAAAACACACACATTATAAGTGAAATTGTAGTCATCACCCTCATTCTTTTTATTCATTTGCATGTCATGTTGCATCAGTTCATTCAGTAGCATGTGTGTGTGGCACTGAATGCTATGAAAGTGATGCAAAGCACGACTTAAGGGTCTCGGTGAAACCCCAACACAAGTTTTCAAAGGAGATGCATGTTAGTAGTATCTAATAAAAACAGTAATGCATCTCGGCCTATCACTTATGATTGGATAACTGAAAACATGCTAATCCTGAGCTGTGACTGTTACATTCAGAGTTAATGTTGTCAGGATACTGGAATTCAGTACCAATTAATACTGAAGTTGTAAAAACATTCACTTCCCTATAACATTTGAGCGCTGTTGGGCACGTTCTTGACTTAAACACAATGTTTACTGAGTGTAACCACAAATACAGGGGCACTGGAGCGTTTCAAAGTCACGCCGATCAGCTGGTTTGTCTATAAGCCGACAAAGGAGCAATCTGCTGATGAAACACAGCTTTAAAATGCTGCAATGTGTCCCTGTATCTGTGGTTACACTCAGTAAACAGCGGTGAGTTCGGTGAACTGATGACCTTCACAGCCAATCAGTCATTTCAGTTGAGCATGTGAACACAATGGCAAATAAGCTGTGTTTAAGTACGTGCTCAATAACGCTCAAATGTTAGCAGGAATAAAAACTGACGTTTTTAAAATTCCAGTATCAACTGGTACCAAAGTATCGTGCACCCTTAATTTAGAGTGATAAAAAAGCCATCGTGTGAGCTAATGTGACAATAGAAGGGTTCTGGCAAACTTACCCTCTCCAGATCCTGTCGCAAATGCGTAAAGAGTCGTAGTCGCCTTAAAAGCACTTCCTGTTCTCGTCGGGCAAGACTGTCTTCCTCCTCTTTCTTCGGCATGATGAGGGGCTGGTTAAAGTTCACCTTTCTTTTCAACTTCCAGTATTGAAACAAGAAGTCCACCATCTCAAGAGGAAGCTGCAGATGTTCGGCAACCTCATCAGCAGCGACGAAGCGATAGAACTCGTCCTCCAGCTGCTGTACTCGAAGCTTTCGCTCACTGAGTCTGGTCTCCTCTGGGTTCTGCGAGAGTCTGGTTTGGGAAGAAGCAGAGAAATCTATTCCTCTATTTCTGCTTCTGTCTTCCCTGGTTGGGACCTTCACAGGTCTGTCATCATCGCCCTCTTCCTCGTTCCAATCCAGGCCAGAGTGCTTGGGACAAAATGACTTGAACTTGACTTCATCCGCCTCTGTGAGGATCGTGTTCATCTTCAGCCCACAATGCAGACCACAGGTCACGTGGAACGCCACACGGCAACTTTTGGCAGAACACTAGGGATTTGGAAAAACAAGACGTCAGAATTAGACCACAGAGGACGGAGAAATGTGAAGCTGGAAAAATGTGCTCTGATTCATGATACATTATGATAAAATGTTACATTTAACCCAAATAGGGTATTTGCACAGCTAGTGTTTCTTTCCATACCAATAAACATCTGGTGAAAGCTAAATGTGACTTTTTTCAATTTTATACGCTTCCTTTTACAGCATCCATATTGTAATGTAAATAAAATATAATCAGTTAAACAGACTTCAGCATTCATTTAGTTGTTGAAGCGTAAACAGAGATAAAAAAAGCCTTTATATGTACGCGCTGTCACGATTAGCGAGCTAGCGCAAAAACATAGAAAATACTGGGGTGAAACTAATTTTCATTTTTTATATACATGGCGCCGTGATCAATCAGGCAGTGGAGATCATTTTTAAAGAAAACAGACCTTAAACGTGCCGATTTTGTAACTGCATACAGTTCATCGTAAGCACTTGACCAAGGTTACTGCAAAATTAAAAGTTCTTCTGCATACTTTTGCATATATCCTATTTCTGTGTACAGTATTATTTGTTGCTTTATTCAATTTTTGATCTCAAATTATATTTTATTTATCTGGATTCTGTTCTTTTTCCCTAATTCACAAAAATTTATTATAACAATGAAACTTATAAAATTATAATCGTACAATTTAAAAACCTGATTACATTTTTGGGATTTTTTTTTTTTTTACAAAGAACAACAATTAAGTGATTATTACTCAATGTTTTAATGGTTTTACATATTCTTATTAAAGCTATTACCATTTTAAGAAGCACATCTTGCTGTATATTAGTAAACAAATCAGTCACCAAAGCAAAAGAAATCCAAAACCAAAAACAAAGCCATTGGAGAATTATTGCTATCCTAAAAGAGCTATAAACAAACTGAAATTGAACTAAAAACATCAGAAGACAAAAAAATAAAATGAATGCTTTTGTAAGAATGTGGAAAATATTCATTAAAAACATTAATGAAATTTGCAATATTTCTGGGACATTCTTCATATCTGTACTGTATCCATAACATAATAAGAGATAAACATCAGCACTGTATACCTGAATACAAGCTCCTGTCTTCTCTTTACACAGGCAGCATATTAGAGCCCATCTGTTGCTGGGTATATGAGACACATTAGTGATAGGCTCCATCTTCTCAGGGTTACCAATGCTTACCTAGAGATAAAGAGCACACAACAAAGCCCAGTCTCAGCACACATACTGCTCTTCTGCGTCATTAAGTGAATCACTTTACATAAGTCTTCATTTGTGCGTGCATCCTTACTTCAGGTATCCAGAGGGCACAGCTGACGTGGACCCACTTGGTGCCACTGCGGGTGGGTTTCATGGCTCCGCCTTTTTTAGGGCACAGGTGGCATTTGGGAAAAATACCCAGCGCACAGGTACGGCAAAGCCAGCTGCCCTCAGGGACCTTCAGTATACCATAACACGCCTGTGGAGAGATACATGGTTATGTAATTCATGTGTGCTGGAACATTTCTTCAAAATTTGGTCACAAATTTCTAACTTCAATATGATACCTTAAATATAATGACACTCTTTTTTTTTAAAAACCACAGGAAAAAAAATGCCACAATTACAATATGTATGCATGTCTTAGTTTTTTAATGTGTCAGAGTCAATGACAACCATTTTTATTAGTTGAGTTAAGCCAGTTCTCTAGATTTTCACTAGCCTTGCCAAAATTTTCACTCTCCCGGATAAAAAAAGTAATTAAAGGAGTAAAATAAAAAATATTTGTTTTGTACATTTGTACCATGTAATATTCTAATATCTTTGGACAAATGGTGAATTTAATGAAGTTTAGTTCCTTGCCTCTGTTGCCACTGTCTTGCTTGATTTGGTTTAGATGGATCAATGGATTTGCTCTTCAGGGTTTGGACTTTCAGCAGTGAAATTTAAACCAAACTCAACTGAAATAAACTGAACTTCAACTCTGCAAAACTGCACTGACACTTTTAATTTAACTTCTATGTTAAACTGCTTTAACACAATCTGCACTAAAATCACAATTTTTAATTACAATTTTAGTATTAGAGAAGAAACGACTGGCCTAAATCCGAAAAGACAAACTTTACAAGGACTTTCTATGACCAACGCCCTCAAATGCAAGGGTTTTAATGTGGGAACACATTTTAAGTGAGAGCAAGGTTACGTCATGTTATATGACAGATCTGATATCTGATGCGTGTTTTGCATAAAACTGAAGATTATTTAATACATCCCATACTATATTATAAAATAATCCGATATTAACTTTTGTATGGATTTTGTTGGAAAAGAGTTTAGGCTCATATAACCTGAAGTTTTAAGATATATGAATATGCTTATTTACATTTTCTTGCCTCATGGGTTTACCTGATCTCCTAAAGTAAATCAACTCAACATTATATTAATTAAAATATTTGGCACTTTATGTTTGTCTCTGAAACCGTGAGGTACTATAGTGGTATAGTATGTTTGTGAACATCATGGCAATGTTCAACACAAAGTAACTCATGCGGGAAACACTTATCGTATTGTGCAATTGTGTGTAACTTAAGCAAGCTGTACGCATAAAAGCACAAGTGTTGGTGAAATAACACTTTAGCAGACCGGAGGTCAAATGGATTCTTTTAAAGAAAATGTCTTGAACAAAATAAACTCATTCAACAATCTTTTTCTATGTACACTTAATTAAAAAAATCTCCAGGGACTTGAATTTAATTTTTTTGTTCACACTCACAAACTTTCAAAGATTTCAAGAACCATAATGCTTGTTCTAAGCAGTTCTTGGCTTGTTTCTGTGTTACAGTTTATTTTATTTAAGGTTTGCCTGTGGAAACATAGTGGTGTAAGAATGACTCTTTTTGATGATGGTACAGTCTACTGAGGTTAAGCTAATGTCTTTAAACGTGAACGGTTTGGGTAACCCAATTAAAAGGTCAAAGGTATTGACAAAATTTAAAAAAGAGAAAGCAGATATTATTTTTATGCAAGAAACTCATCTCTCTCAACAAGAGCATGAGAAATTAAAGAGATTTGGCTTTAAAAATACTTATTACAATTCATATGAGCATTCACATAGAAGGGGAATTGCTATTCTTGTTGCTAATAAATTTAAATTCGAATTATATAAGGAAATAAAAGAAAAGGATGGGAGATATCTTATTGTTAAGGGTAAAATTGAAGAGGAATTAATAACTTTAGTAAATGTGTATGCTCCACCCGATACTAGTAAACTGTTCTTCAAATCATTAATGGATGTAATTGTACTGGAAGCAGAGGGTATTTGTATATGTGGTGGAGATTTCAATGTGGTACTAAACCACCATTTAGACACAACTAATAGCAAAAGAAATGGGAGCAAAATATCAAAATTAATTAACACAGCCTGGGATGACATAGGATACTGCGATGTCTGGCGACATATTAATCCATCTCTCAAAAACTACACTCATTACTCAGCTCCCCACCGTACATACTCTAGGATTGATTATTTTTTTATGCCAAAAAATGACTGTTATAGGGTGAAAGATTGTAGCATTGGAGTAGCTGAGGTCTCTGACCACAGCGCTTTGTACCTGACAGTTCAAATAGAAGGAAGGAAGAGAAAGACAGGTTGGAGGTTGAATGTGGGTTTGTTAAATAACAAAGCAAATACAGAACAGATAAAATTAAATATAAAAGAATATATTAGGATAAATGATAATGGAGAGGTAGACCCATCCATAGTATGGGACTCATTGAAGGCTGTGATGCGTGGGAATTTGATTGCACTATCAGCGCAAAATAAAAAAAAGAGAATTATGGAGTACAATACCCTAACATCAGACTTATTAAATGTGGAGCAACAACACAAAATAAACAGGGATCCAAACCTACTATCACGTATGCAGCAAATAAGGAAACAGATTAACAGCCTGTTGGAACAAGATGTTGAGAAGAAAGCTCGATTCTATAAGCAGACATACTACGAATCCGGCCCTAAAGCAGCAAAATTGCTTGCCCGACGCTTACGTAAACAAGAAGTTGATAGCACTATTCATAGAATACGAGACCCACAAACAAATAATTTGGTTTATCATCCACAGAAAATAGAGGACATTTTTCTAAATTATTATAAACAACTGTATACGGATGCTTCTAACTCTAAAATGGAAGCGACAAGAAATTTTCTTAATGAACTAGATTTACCAAGTATAGGCAAAATACAAAATGATTTCATTACAGCAGATTTCACACTAGAAGAGATAAATAATGCGATTGGGAGACTAAAAACATCTAAAACACCAGGTAGCGACGGCTTTCCAGCCGAGTGGTATAAAACTTTTAAAGAAATACTAGCCCCACTTCTGTTAAAAACATTTAACTGGATTAAAACAGAATGTAAACTTCCACCTTCATGGAACGAGGCTATCATCTCAGTACTCCCAAAGGAGGGTGAGGACAGGGAACTTAGCTGCAATTATAGGCCCATTTCAATTCTTAATATAGATTATAAGATATATACATCAATTATAGCCAAAAGATTAGAGACTATCCTTCCTGAATTAATTGACGAGGATCAGACAGGATTCATAAAAAGCCGTCAAACACATGATAATATTAGGAGGACGCTGCATCTTATAGATAAAATAGAAAGGGAAAATAAGACAGCAGTATTACTAAGTCTGGATGCCGAAAAGGCCTTTGATCGGGTCAACTGGGAATTTCTTTACCAAACTTTGGTTAGATTCGGCTTCAATAAACATTTTGTAAATATAATTAGATCTCTTTACCAACAACCTACAGCCAAAATAAAAATTAATGGGTCATTATCTCCATCGTTTAGTTTACAAAGAGGAACTAGACAGGGCTGTTGCCTTAGTCCCACATTATTTGCTGTTTATATTGAACCCCTGGCCCAGGCAATCCGTCAACATGAACAAATACAAGGCATTACAATAGGACATAAAGATCATTTAATTAGTTTATTTGCAGACGATGTCTTGATCCATTTAACAGATCCTGAGGCCTCCCTCCCGGTACTGATGGAGTTCCTCGATGAATTTAACTTCTTCGCTGGGTACAAACTAAATATTGCGAAGACACAACTTTTGTCATTTAATTACAAACCTTCTGAGGAAATCAGACATAGATATAATTTAAAATGGGACATGAAAGAAATAAAATATTTAGGGGTGATTATTACAAAAAACCTGAGTAGTCTGTACGGTGCAAACTATAATGTGATTAACCAGAGTATTAAAAGCGATATGGAACGGTGGTCTACCTACCCATTGGATTTTGCTAGTAAGATAAACGTCATCAAAACAAACATATTACCTAGATTACTATACCTATTTCAAGCCCTGCCAATAGAGATACCTAAACATCAGTTTACAATCTGGAACAAACTTATTTCCAGGTTTATTTGGGATGGAAAGAAGCCTAGAATAAGATACACAACACTCCAGTTGTCCAAGCAAAAAGGAGGAATGGCCCTGCCGAATCTCAAAGATTATTTTTATGCAGCTCAGTTCCGTCCACTTTTTCTTTGGTGTAACAACAATTATTTTGCCAGATGGAAAGAAATTGAGACATATACGGTGGGTTATCAGATTCAGTCAATTCTTGGAGAAAAAGAAATCCCTTCGGTAGTCAAAAGTCAATTGGATTCAATAACCTCTGGAGCAGTGGAGTTTTGGTTTGAGTTTGCTAGACAATTTAAATTAAGCAAAGACCAAAAAGTTCTTCGATGGATAGCCTTTGACACTCAATTTAAACCAGGTGAAAGCGACGCCACATTTAAGCAATGGGCAACAAAAGGCATTAGTGCAATATGTACAGTATTGGAAAACAAGGAATTACAGACTTTCCAAACACTCAAAGAAAAACTTTCTCTTACTAATCGGGACTTATTTAGGTTTATACAATTCAGAGATTAATTTTACAGAGAAATAAAAATGGAAACGTCACACGAAATTAGTCCAGTTGTAAAGATTATGATGAATGCTTACAAATCAGATAGTAAATGTGCAAAAATAATCTCTAGTTTTTACGTAAGTATTATGGAAAGTAAGACCAACTCAACATTATACCTTAAATCAAGGTGGGAAAAAGAATTGAATGTAGAAATTCTACCAGAGGTATGGTTAGATATGTGCGAAATTCAACATTCCTCCACAAGCTCACAACAACTGAGGGTATTCAATTGGAAGAATTTGGTACGATTCTTTATAACACCTAAAATCAGCAGTAAAGCTTCTTCTACACCCCAGCAATGTTGGAGAGAATGTGGCTGCTTAGAAGCACACCATACACACATTTTTTGGGGATGCGAAAAACTGAAGCCATTTTGGAATGATGTGCACTTAACCTTAACAAAGGTGCTTGGGTATGAGATTCCATTTACATGCATTGTCCTGTACTTGGGTCATATTTCACTGGTTACACTTCAGGAGGATCGATACCTGGTAAAAATACTCCTTACAGCAGCCAGGAAAACCATAACCAGAAGCTGGTATAAGCCTGACTCACCTAAACAACAACAATGGCTTGATGTAATTCAGGAAATAAGGACATTGGAACATATGACTGGTGTGTTACGTTTGAAGGTGGACTTGTATGCCAAAAGATGGCAAAAATGGATAATTTACATTGACAAATCATTAGGGACTGGCTCTCAGACTGTACTCGCTTAAGTTTCAGACATATAAGTCAACTGTGCCTATTCTTATGTACCCAATTGCCTTCCTTTTTGTATAAACCATGTTTTTTTTTTTTTTATTTACTTATTTATTTTTCTACAGTATTCTCAACACAGGCTCTGTTTCTATCTTATTTTATTTATTTATCTATTATTGTTTTGTTGTTGTTGTTTTTTTTTTTTTTTTTTTTGTTCTAGTTATTTGCTTGTTATTGAAATGGCTTGTCATATCTGACTCAAATTAGCCTTTTCTACTATTTGTAAAATTGCATTTGATTGTAATCAATTATGACCTACTAAAAAATCAATAAAAATTAAAGTTATAAAAAAAAGATTTCAAGAACCAATGGGAATACTGTTTTAATGACTGCTATCACTTTCTTCCTCACATTCAAGCACAAACAGTTTGAGTATCAAGGTGTCTAATATGTCTTGTTCTTGAAATGTAAAATGAGCCAACAAAATAAAATTTCAGTCAGTCTGAATGAGAGTGTGACTTAGTGAGAGGCAGAGAAAGTAAATAGAGATTATCCCCAACAAAACCTTCACAAACACACTGACAAAAAAAGGAAAATATAATTCCAATGAAAAACAAAAAAAAATGTAATATTACCTCTAAACTAAACTTTAATGTTATTTGGCCCAATCATTTATCAGTAAAAGAAAAACAAATTCTTTCTAGAGCTGCACGATTCTGGCTAAATCGCAAATTTTTCTCACGATTCTGTAGATGTAAAATAAAGGTTAATATGAGTGGACTATTATTATTGTTATTCTCAAATGTGGTAAAACAGCAATAGGCTTTGTGTAGCTGTACTGTTACAATGCTACATTTTGTAGACTTGAATTTTGGTGGACTTGAACAGACTTTAGATTCGTCCTGGTCATTAATCATCAATTTATCATCAATGCTGATGATAATTCTGATGCTGAACTATAGTGTTTGAGACATATGCTTACAATCTGTAATTTTCTGCTTAAAATCTGTCACTGACTTGATTTTCGTGAATACAGAAGACTGGGTGGGTATTTTCATTTCGGCAGGTTTTAGATACTTTTTGGGCTGGAATCAGTCAGCTACATCTGGCAACACTGTGCGCGCTTTCGGTTTCATTTTCATTGCTAAGAACGGTTCACTACCCACGCAGCTCCCAAACAATCACTCAGTGCCACAAACTGAATCCTATTTACAACTTTATTACTATGTTATTCACAGCTTATGCAGGTTCTGTTCACTAAAGTCGACTTCATTCAGAGGAGCGAGCGGTGTTAACAGCTGACGGTCAGCTCACGTCACTTTTGATTTTGTGGTCGCAAATATATTACATAAAGACAAAAATGACATTTTTGAGGTAAATTATATCTTATAAATACAGCATGTGACTCTTTTAACACCATTTGGAGGTGTCCACGTTGCTGAACAACGTATGTAAAACAATGTGAAGACTTGTGCAGCCACCATTGCTTCTCTCCTGAAAAATATGATTGACAGAATTATAGAAATGCTGGATTAGTGCTGAAGATTATCTAGGGGGTTGAATCGAGATTACAATATTTTTACGATTAATCGTGCAGCTCTTATTCTTTCTAAACATCACTTCAGTAATCATGACTTAAAATAGAAAGAGGGAGAGATAAATCCTGGGCTCCTAAAGAGCATCAATATGTAAAAACAGTGACACTCATTAAATAAAAGATGAGACGTACTTATTTTGTTTTCTGCCCCAAATACACAACAAGAAAAATATTTTCCCCCCATTTTATAACATTAAATAATTTATTCTGAATGACACTGGGTGCAAAATATGTGTACACCATCCACAACATAAGAAATGGTTAATCAACTAAACTCATGAGCCTTAGTAAAATAATCTACGCTTTTTTTTCTTGTAATCATCATAATTATTAGAGCTATTTTATCAGTTTTATTCTTATCATTTTCTTTTTTTTTTCATGTAATGTATATTTTGTTAATTTGATTAAAATAATAATATTACATATTTTATACATATATAAAATGCTTTGGCAATACTGTGCAAAAATCATGCAAATAAAGAGACTTGAACTTGAGAGGAAGAATACAGCAGGCATTGTAAAAAAAAGTTATGTTTCACTTTAAGTATTTCAGTATTGAAATATTGTTCTTTTTGACAACATTAGCAACACACACACACCTGATGCACGCAGATGTTGCACTTGTCACAGAACACCATCTCGTTGCCGTCCTCGCCGTCAGGAGACTGACAGACATCGCAGACCACATCCTCATCATACTCGATACCAAGCCCCTCCTCTGTTTCCATGGCGTGGCTCATGTTGTCATAGCAACGGCGCTCAAACTCCTCCATGACCCGCTCCATTGTAAGCTCATCCAGGGGTTGCATGCCTACAAGCAAATTATTTAGCTGTAAGTGCTTTTTTTCCCACAGAGTGAAGAAATTTGTTTGCATAAAGAGCAAAATGAAAACTCCAGACAGTATTTGCTCACCCATTTTACTGAACTCTTCATTAGTGATCTGCAGCCAAGCTACGTCCTCCTCATTCAGGTCATAGCGACACATGCCATCAGCCAGTGTCTGAATACCCACGTACCCAAGCATCGATGACTCAGATGAGCGAATCAGCTTCTTGGGCTTGATGAACAGAGGAGCGGTGCTTTTCTCAGCTACAGTGCTGCAAAAAAAAGAAAAAGAACAATGAATCAATGGGAACTACTTAAGGAGAATAGTTTGATAGGGAAGAGGAAAAACATATTATACCGCACTGTACACTGCGGTATAGACTCTGGACTGACAGGAACTTGAACCCCTTTCTCCCACTCCTGCCGCCAGGGATCGGCCAGCTCATAATAGTCCTCAGGATTAAGCTGGTGTGAATCATGCAGCTTCATAGCTGTGATCAGGTCTGTCCTGAACACCTGTGGAAAAGAAAAGAAATTGTGCAAAAGAATATGTACTAAATGACAAACATCTACAACAGTCATACGCAGGGCTGTGCGATATGGGCAAAAGAAACCCATCACAATTTTCCTGAACAATAATGCGATTTCGATTTTAATCATGATTTTGATACACAGTGTAAATCTGAGAGATATTTCCAAAGGAAAATAATTAGATCTTCATCAAAGACCTGTAACTTGTCTCTAAATCAAACATAAGGCAAAGAGAATTAAAATCACCCAGTAGAGGTGTAATAAATCGTCTCTAGAACAGACCTATGGCAAAACAAATAAAGACTACTGTGTGTGTGTGTGTGTGCGCGCGCCGTCAAACGCGAGTAAGGCTCCGATGTTCTGCTTGACCCCAAATCAAAAGTAGTTGCGTGTGCTTTTCTACATGTCCACAGATTTTTGGCTGCAACCTATGACTGACTTACAAATTACCTGGTTCTGTGATACATCAGCCTTCCAAAGTAATCCCACACCACAGTTGTTGACTTTCTCCTGTGCTGAACTCATCATGCAGGTTATTTGTCATAAAGCTCAGTCTCCTGTTCATTGGTTCAAATAGAATACTGCGGGAAAATCGTGCTGTAACGTGATTTAGAAATCGTGCATGTCCAAAATCAATATGATTGTAATTAATCGCACAGCCCTAGTCGTATGTGTGTGCGAGTGAGTTTTGTGTACCTCAGATGGTCTTTTCCCACTCTGTTTCCTGTGCTTGGAGTTGGAGTGCTGAGACCAGGATGTGGAATTACCTAAAAGAATTGAGGGAAAAAAAACATGATATGACATGCAAGACATGTCCTGTGCTGAAGATGCTGATAAAGAGAGATCATGTTATTAGCAGCTGTAATAGTTTCAGAAAACGGCAGAACTGGTTTTGCAAAGGTAGAAGGATCGTGTTGGGGTTATAGCTAAAGGGTGAAATATTAAAATAAGCATAAAACAAAATTTGCATTTTTCCCCTCTACTGTAAAAAAAAAAAACTTCAAAATTTTTCTTTCAATGATTTCAAACAATTATTTTTGATGTGCAATTTCACATCCATAAACAAGTTTTTTTCCTCAGAAATGCAAAAATAAATAAATAAATTATTTTAGTTCTAAAGAGAGCCAACTCTTATTTTTTAGATTAGCATTATTTCTTTTGGGTTGTTCACAGAATTACTACAAAGTAAGTTGTATACTGTAAACTCACTAATTTTTTTGGTCACATCCATAACGCATGTTTATTTCCCTCATTTAAAATCCAAAAATGTTAACAGATTGATATTTTTCTGATTCCATAACTTTGTGGTTAGTTCTTTGAAAAATATAAACAGATTTTTCAATATACAGGCTTCATATATAATTTTACAACTAAAATTCCATGATTTTTCCATGACTTTCAAGTAATACATACATACACATAGTAAATAATAGAAAAAACTGTGCACGTTCAAATTCATTACAACATATCAAAAAACAAAAAAAAATTGTATTTTTACATCTATTGTATGTACAATTTATTTAGACAATGCTAAAGCAGCATTCACAATGTGGGACCATGTTTTTGGCCAAAAACAGAAAAAAAGTAAAGACAACTAATCTATATTCAAGTGTACAGATATTTGTTAAACTAATTTCCATGACCTTTCCAAAACTTTGAGGGGATTTTAGTTTTTCCAAAACTTTTCCAGGCCTGGAAAATGCAATGTCAACATTCCATGATTTTTTCAGGTTTTCCATGACCATATGAACCCTGAATATAATGTTAACATTTACTTTCTCTGTGTATTTATGTGTTTTAAGTTTTCCTGAAAATGTCACATCCATATTGCTGGAATTGCTTATGTGCAATTGAAAAAAATCTTTGACTTAGAAAAAAAAAACAGTCGGGTGGGACTTTTCTCCATCTGGAACTGATTAGATAGTTGTTGTCTGTTAATAGGGTGCATTAGCGCCCGCTTTTTTTCCAGCAGTGCAGTATCTTTGCTTGTATGTTTCTTTAAACTACTGAAATGTAGTACTGAACACTATAACTGGGTAAAGTCTAGATAGAATACAGCTGCGCACAAGATTGAATAAATAATATAAATAACTCTGTCCACAATTGTATCTGATCTAGCAACAAGCCTGTAACTGTTGCGCTTCATTGCTGTGAACTCAGATGACTGATAAGTTGCTTTAGATGATTGATTATTGTATATTTAGAAAATGCAGATCAACTGTACTGTACACTGTACTGTACACAACATCTTAAGTAAAAGCATGTCTGTTAACTGAATTACTCCTTAATCATTTACTTCACTTATAACTTAATTTCTACTAACAATAATATTCAAATGAAAAATGTTCACAGATAATTACTTCTAATAAACACTCTGCATAAAAATGTAGGTATAGTCCATTGTGATATCAAAGTAACTTTCATGACAGTCAACATTAGTTTTGAGAGTGAACAGGTTTCTTTAGGCAAGCTGATACTTGAAAAAACAGCGTCTGTCTACTCACTCCCATTGTCCGAGTCCTCGCTGGTGCTCGGGACACGGCTTCGCTTCATCCTGAGCTGCCGTGGCCTTCAAGTGATGCGGAAATCTGCAGAGGTTGATCAAACATTAGTAGAACATTCCTGAAAACTGACCTGGGGAGATCACTGTGGAGTGCGCGTACCCCAGCCAGCACACACAGGCCATACGAATTTAGAAACCTAACATACACCAATTAAGATACTTTATTTCACACGTTATATATACTTATACGACAGCTTAATATGAAGAATTGAACCATATTAGGTAATCCATCCTTAATCTGACTCCTTCAAAAAGTGTAAACAATGTGGCGCTACCAACCGTTGCTGTTTGGTTGAGCATCGGGACAAACATGGACTGAACCAATAGCATGAGTCTGAGGGCGGGACTAAGTGTTGGATTACCCACTGTCAGACGGGGGCGTGTGCGAGAAATGTACACACTTCACCTTCACCAGTTTTTGTTATTCTGCTCTAGGTAGGGTATTGAAAACATGCTAAACTAATGTAATTTCCCTAATCTCAAATATCTAACAAGAAAACAGAAAATAAACTGAGCAACTGGTGCACATGAGAACAACGTCACTCAAGTTTTGATGTAAGAATATAATGCATCATCATATTAGTTTATGATCAATATATAATATGGAGGTAACGTTATATGGACGTACGGAGTGTCGTAAACACAAATACTACAATGACAAACAACTCAGAAACAAACCTCAGAGCAGCTTTAGGCTTTTTTAAAATTATTTTTACCTCGACACACCTAATATTTCACTAGCAAACACAGTTTCAGGTGAACCACTTAAAATCAGTTTGACTAACTGTTAACTGAGAACCAATAGAGAAAAGCAAACCCATGCCGATTGGGATATACGAAAAAGGTTTAGATATGTTAAACTTGTTTTTTTATTAAGTTAGCCAAGATCATACAGTTAAAAAAATATTTTAACCGTTAAAATATCACAGGTACCAGCTAAATCCAACGGTACAAGTAGAGGAAAAAACGAAACAACGTTACAGCAGGACATCTACCACTCGACAGCAGATTCACGCAGCGCAAACGCTGAACGTGACGCTGCTGACAGACCACGCCCCTTGACGTCACATAGCTGTCCATTTCAATGCCAGTTAGCAAATTAAAAACAAAACTATTAATACGCGTTTCCTCACGAATCAAAATGAATTTTGCAGCGTTTTTATACACAGCTCCTGCTGCTCGTTTGTATATTTAAGCACAGACGTACTGCATAAAGAAAATCCAGTTGTGCTGGAACATTCGTTCGATTTAAAAAAGTAATTTCTATTGCGCAAATCTATAAATTTACAGAATTTAACTTCTAACGCAAGCCCCTAAGAAAAGTTACTATTTTTCACCGTTATTTTCACAACATCATGGCAGTGCTGAATCCGGACCAGCCCAGGCAGTGGCACGCGGAAAACTGTCTAATAGTCCTCCGAAAATATGCAGAATCCGTACATAAATCAAAAGTGGAAAACACCGATGTGTATTTGACGCCAATTTCAGGTTCAATTGCAAAACTTTAAGGCCAAATAGCACAAGCCGAGCAGTCAGGCCAGGGCGCGCGCGCCTAACTTGCGATATGACGCTTGGACACACATACACACACATGCGCGCGCACGACCAGCACCTACGCGATTCAAAGTAACAACCAAATATTCACGAATACCACATCCGCGGCTCATAGAAATCAATAAAGAGGCCACATGCATGAAAACATTTATTTAGGGCAGCGTCTGCTCCTGCTCAACTTAATCTTTTGGCGCCATTTTAATGACGTGCTACATTTGCACCGGACCATCTGCATGAAGAGCTCGCGGAAATCCTGGAAAACACTTGCACCTCCCTGCCTGGAAAACACACATACTATAGCACAGCGAGAAAATCTGGTGTACCTACATAAACAGGTCTGGCTGATCCTGCGCTGGCGTTTCTGTGGCGCTTGCTCAGAGTTTGAGTAGTCGCCTCTCCTCTCCTCCACCCCACACACACAAACACATGCAGGTTACGTATGCGCGCCGCCGCTGCTTGTTTCCTGCAGGGGGCGCTAGTGCGCGCGCGCACGCACATACGATTATCATGACTTCCATTTCAGCTGTTTCATAATAACCACATCTGTTTTGACTGGAGATGACGATGATGATGACAGAGTTTAAACCCACTATTTTTATTTTAAGATAAATCCTTGGCGGAAAACTGTTTAAATAAAGGAAAGTGTCATGTTATGTCATCACTACTAATCCAAAGTGGGATAAAATATGTAATAATAAATCTTAAATATCCAATCAAATAATTTTAAGCTTCAAAATAATTCTTTTGAGTTGTTTGTTTGCTTTATGAGAGGGTGAGGTGCTTCACAAATATCCTGAACCTTTGGAGAAGATACAAAATGCAAAGACTGTAAATCCCATAGGATCACTTCCCAGCAATAGGCTTTGTTCATTTTCCTTTATTAGATTTTTCCGTTGGAAAATATAAATGTTTGCCACATGATCAAGGGTGGAGCATGTGTTTACAAGAAAAAAACTGTACACAAACAAAAGATCTAAAATAATGATTTAAAAAAAAAACTTTTAATATAATCATCCTTTGGCCACCCAAGGTGTGGACTTTATTGCTTCAGTAGAATATAAATAAGGTTTTTAGCGTAAACTAAGGTCTTTGGTATTTAATTAATTGCAAATGAAAGGGTACCAGTAGTTTGAGAGTGACCAAAAAACATAAACACAATACAAAGTTTATATCTGTGCCTCTTTATGAGACACTGGACGTCTTCTGAAGAATAGTAAATGGTCTGTGCAAGAAATTGAGCCTTATTCATTCTTTTATTTTATTTTCGGCTTAGTACCCTTATTAATCTGGGGTCGCCACAGTGGAATGAACTGCCAACTTATCCAGTATATGTTTTACGCAGCGGATGCCCTTCCAGCTGCAACCCATCACTGGGAGACATCTATACACACTCATTCACACACATACACTATGGCCAATTTTAGCTTACCCAATACACCTATAGCGCAAGTCTTTGGACTTTTGGCAGAAACCGGAGCACCCAGAGGAAGCCACACAAAAATGAGGAGAACATGCGAACTCCACACAGAAATGCCAACTGATCCAGCCGAGGTTCAGACCAGCAACCTTGCAGTGAGGCGATCGTGCCACCCACTGCGCCATCGCATCGCCAAATTGAGCCTTTTTTACAACAATATTAATCCACAGTGTTAAGCAAACAGTGTGTTGATGACAGTCTGGAGCACAAGCTTCACGTAAACAATGTTCAGTTTCTCGACTGATTGTTATGCTTCCTAAGACTGCAGCGTGTCAGCAGGACTCTCAGTGTACTAGTAGCCACTAATTAGCATTTTATTAATCAGCAAGGACCGAAGTTTCGGCTACAAAATCTCATTTAATATTCTGTATATTAATATACTAACAGCAAAAAAAATAATAATTCTGGGTGAACTATCCCTCAAAAAATCCATTAAAACAACCTCCTGTAGTAGGATGAGTAAATTAACTAGGAGTTGTCTGGAATTTTTGACAAAACAAAATCATCATATTGATGAAACTGAATGATATGGATGCCTTGTTTAGTTAAACATCTCCTGCTGCTATTTTATTTACACATTATGCATGTTTTTTCATGTTTTATACATTGTTAGTACAACCAACAACCACTAGGGGTCAACACGCAACCATTTATCAAGATGGCAGTGCAAAGATACACCAGACAGGATGGAGGGAGGAGCTTATTTTTGACACATCACTGGCCAATGAAAAACAGCTCCTGTCCCACCGCCTCTCAGACCACTTCTGTAGGCCTCAGGGAGGAAGATTCACAAATAACTACACCTAATCTCTACCAAGACTTCAGTCTTCAGGAGGAAATGTAAGGATTAGTAGTGTATTTACATTGTGATGGAGAAAATACTCTTTTATCATATTCCCAAAACAAACAACAAACGTCTGACGTGTGCGTGAACACGATTACTGATGTGTCTGATCAAAACAGGACTGCAGACAAGGCAGAAAGGGTACTAGAATCACTTTGGTTCTTGTTCATTTGAGTGCCAGAATAGCATCGTATGATTTTCCGGTCCGACAGACCTGCACGTCACTGAATCCTGCATCTGTGAGCAGGTGTGTGTAATACGACGGTGGATGTTCCTTCCCTTCGGTCTGGACCAGCATGTTCAGAGAAAAGATCTGAACCATAGTTGGACCTTTGCGGGTCTCAAACAGCAGAGCCTCTGCTATCAGGACACCTCCACCTAGAGATGGTAAGGAGGACAAAAGGGCGAGTCAGATGCTTGATGTCCTTTGAGGGCCATTGATTACTACTGTTGATCTGGTAATCTTGCTTTATTGAATGTGGTATTTCTCACCTGGATGACATGCTGCGTGAATCTTCCTCAGCAGCTTGAGATTTTTCTCCTCTTTCCAGTCATGAATGATTCGGGCAAGAATGTATAAATCTGCTGGAGGGATTTCCTCTTCAAAGAAGTCCCCTGCAAACACAGAGATTAGAAAAACTATAGTAGAGTTATATTTCATCACTGCAGTTTTACATTACAATTTAAATGTTCTAAATCTTTTGTTTTAAGTTTATGAAAGTCTCATGCTCACCTAAAACATGGTGATAGTGTATATGAGATTATATATATATATATATATATATATATATATATATATATATATATATATATATATATATATATATATATATATATACACATACATACATATATACATATATATAAATACGTTGATTTTTTTTGTTTTTTTTTTGTTAAAGAGACAGTTCCCCCCACATGAACACACACATTTCAGTGTTATAAATGCTTTTTAATTCTGTTTTACACAAAAAGAAGATATATTGAATAATGTTGAAAACCACTGACATCCATAGAAGGATAAACAAATACTATTGATGTCAATATTTACAGGTTTCCTACATTCTTCAAAATAACTTTTTTTCTATTCAACAGAACTCCCACTTTAACTAATCCTGTACATTCATTTTCCTTTGGCTTAGTCCCTTAATTCATCTTGAGTCGCCACAGTGGAATAAACCGCCAACTTATGTTTTACACCAGTAGATGCGCTTCCATATTAGGAAACATCCATACACGCTCATTCACACACGTACACTATGGCCAAAAAAAAATTTTTAATTCACCTTCACCTCATGTTTTTGGACTTTGGGGGAAAGCGGAGCACCCGGAAGAAACCCACATGACCACGGGGAGAACATGCAAACTCCACACAGAAATGCCAACTGACCCAGCCGGGACTTGAACAAGTGATCTTTTTGCTGTGAGGCGATTGCACCGTGTCGCCCTAGTCCTATACAACTGAGTGTTTGTTTGTTTGTATTTTTGTAGTTTTATATTTAGCTTTTGGCTTAAGGTGGAAGTCAGAAATAACAAGTATGGTCAATCCAATTACTCTTTACACACAGCTGAGGTGTTTATCCAGTCACACTGCATCAGTTGGCCAATCAGAACAATGATGTATTTTGGCTGAAAGAGCTCAAAAGTCTGCATCTAAAATTCACATTTCCCGACTATATACCAGCTGAAAAACGAGATGACCAGAAGTATGTTTTAATTCAAAAGTACCAGGATGACACTGTGGTGGTGAATGTAGTACTGAATATCCAGATTACATTCATACTACACACATTTATACAACTCACTCACTCACTCACTCACTCACTCACCTTCGGCTTATTCCCTCATTTTTCAGGTGGTCTGCACAGTACAATAAACTGCACACATTTATATAAAAAATAAATAACACAGGGTCCTTACACCTTTTTCACCCTAAATTCCAGCACTTTTCAAGCACTTTCAAGGTGCATTTGTGTGCTTTTCCAGCACCTAATGACCACGATTAATTACGTTTATATATGTTGTATGTACTTTTTCACATTTAAATGCATTGTGCTATTTTGAAAAACAAAATATGACATTTCAACTTAAATTGTTGAGTACTTTAGTGCATAAATTTATTAGGATAGTTAACTTAAAAATGATTAAAAAATTAATTTTTAAAAGTTCAGTTATTCGATGAAGTGTGTTTTTAAGTTTGGCCTCTTTCTACCTAAAGTTGATATCTTAAGAAATGAGCTTACAGTCAGATTTTGTTTGGGTGTTGTACCAAACTTTCATGACCAATCGTTCATGATATTTCATGTGCATTGCTATTTTTTCTTTTTAGCAGTCATTGGATTGGCGTTTCAGGTGCAAAGATACTTTCTGAGTGAATGTCTCCTAAATGCGTATGAAGCTAATAGCGCCAAAACAATCTGAATTTGTATTGTGTTAATCTGAATTCTTAAAAAAAACTTGAAACTGTTTTTTTCCATACCCAATATCTGCAGTCTTTGAATTCAGAACAAAAAAAAAAATCTGAAATTTAAAACGAAGTCTATAAAAATCTGACTTAAAAAAATTAAGTTGTCTTAAATTTCAGATGTTCAATAATCAAGTTAAGAAACACACATTCAAAACTTTTCTAATGGGACATAATTAGTATTATTACCTAACAATTGTTAATAATTCAATTTAACAATTCAGATTGTTTTGGCTCATTATTGGCTCCATAAATACACGCATGCTGTGAACATTTTGGAATGAAAACTGGTCGCACAACAACAATTTATGCACTCGCACATATGCTCCAAAATATATTTTGAGTTCACATAGATAAAATCGAGCGCATATGCAACCAAAACAGTCACAATTTCGAGCCCTGCAAGTTCAAATTCAAGCAGGTTCAAGCACTTTGTATAAAATCGAAGCACTTTTCTAACCTTGAAAACACAATATTAAAAATCAAGCATTTTCCAGGATTTCCAGCACTCGTAAGAACCCTAATAACGTTTAGAGGTGATAACATCCTAGAGGTGAAGTGCGTCGACATATAGCACCAAGGTGCTCACGGTGACCTGAGTTCGATTCCCACCTCGAGGTCCTT